CAGAACTCGTGGTTCTATGGCAAACAACATCCGCCAAATCAGCACCAGGGTTGATGTCTACAAATGTTCCTTCATACCAGCAGCTATTATAGCATGGAACAAGATACCAACCACAATTAGGAATTCACCATCAGTGGACACTTTCAGACACGCTTTACAGACCATCAGCGTGTCTGAGATCCTACACCACTAAACTATCCACTTAAAACTTTTTACCTCTTTTAATACGAGTGTACATAGGTTTTTAACTGTTCACCACAGAATTACTTGAGAATCGACACTCAACTTGAGTTCACTCCATAAAGGGACGAAGAAGAAGTAATATTCATTAAATAATTCAGTGAAATAAAATCTAACCTGATCCAGGATTCAGCTGTTCAGAACTTTCTTGAAAGAAAAATGGTTGAAAATCAGTTTAAGCACTGAAATCCATAGGTCCATACAGTTATTTACATGAAGTCTCCAGGGCTGTGAAAGTCTGTGTTATTGTTTTAAAATAAGCAGCCGAAGCTGTGAAGGACTAACATTACGTCATAATCAAGATTTGAATCGCTTCCAAGTTTAAGACGTCACAATGCATAGGTAGCTCGCTGACAAGACTGTGTGTACAGTGTACCATAGGTATAGACCAGGTGTCGGGCGGGAAGCGCGTGTTGAGAACGTGCAGGTCAACACCTGCGGACCAGGTGTCCTTTGGCGGGAAGCGCGTGCCGAAAACGTGACCAGGTAAAAAACACCTGGCCAGCGCGTGCGTGGGATTAAGAGGCGATGAAACACTAGAAGGACGTCATCATCATGGAATCGCTGCCAAGTTTTAGGCCGGCTTTAAGGTAGGTCGCGGGTTTGCTTTTGTCATCAGTTTTGGTACACAATTTCGACGATATTTGAGCGGTTGTTTTGTGCACATTCGAATATGACGTCAGTTACGTCACAAAGACAACGTTACTTTGTTTCCCGTTTTATTCTCTGCAAATGACTTCAAGTTGTACGAAACAAGAATTAGTCTACTATAGTCTAAGATTAATACGAAGTGCATGTAAACCTCGTACATGTATGTTTTATAATAAAATTTCAGTCTGATTCTGATGTGATTATATGTACAATGTAATCTTTCGACAAATTAAATAGTACAATACCAAATGAAAGGAATAATTTATATTGTAAATGTTATGAAACTGCTGATCAGAATAAGTAATGGTATAAAAAAAAGAAAGTTAATGATTATTATAATTATTATTTGGTTTTTATTATGTATCTAAATCTAGTGTATTCCCTATATTTTGCTGGCTAACGAATATTGTGAAATGCATTTAAGGGGGCTCTCTACAACCTCACAACATGGCGTACTTCCGTTGAAACACCATTTTGGTCCCAAATGATCTGATTCAAATTCACTTAAGTGTTAAAAACTAAATGCATTTTGCGTATGAAAATTTGATTCAGAGAAATCGAAATTAACAAATGTTTGAGAGTAAGTGCCATATACTAGCTTGCCACCTCCCCCCGCATATGGAGAAATAGTGTTCATTTTGCTCATTTGCATATCAGCCATTTTGGAACGATAGTGACTGCGGATTCCATAAAGGTTTATATGGAGAAAATAATAAAATCGCATTTTTTTTATATCCTACCTATTTCGGAGAAAGTTCGTCCGTCGATGGTTTGATTCTTCCTTTTATTCTCTACCGGAAATGACAAAACTGTAAATACCCAATCGGCAATCCTCGGCTGACTCCGCTACGCTCCATTCAAATGTGCGAGGTACGAGTCATCCGAGGAACTCCGATTGGTAAATACCAAAGTGAAATGCGACCGCCTTTTTGATTTGAAAATTCGAAGCGAGATTGTATTGTTTTAATGAAGGAAGGAATACAGAATTGGTGTTTTTATCATTTTTGATGTTGAAATGTAAGTGTTTATTATTTACATTCCGTGTATTTTTCCTTATGAAATTCATTAGAAATCCAAGACATTCAAATTTCTATAACACACGCGAAACCTTGTCACCGCGCGTTAGAATACACAGTAGGAACTATATGCATTTTCTATAATCTGGGAAAACCAAAATGTACAATATGTTGACTCAATATTTTAAGCAAAAATTATCATCCTGTTAAATTAACGTAAAATTACTACAAATGTGCGTTTAAAATTAATTTGTCACTTTTTTCCCTCGCAGTGTTTGTTTGCGTTTTTTAACTTTGCAACGTCATCTGACGTCACAAACGGCTCTTACGTCTTTTAACCACGTCAGTTTTGAAAGGCGCTAAATTCACATTAAAGATTAATGAACTAAGTATTTATGAAGCAGGAAAATTAGAGAATGTAAATATAAGCATTGAATTCATATTTTTGGCTGTCTTCGGTCCTATAACACACCTGGCCGTGCCGACAAATTTATCATATATCAATTTGTCGGCACGGCCAGGTGTGTTATAGGAACGAAGACAGCCAAAAATATTAATTCAATGCTTAAATATTTGCAAGTTGACTCAGTTCTTCCGCCGATTTAAAGGTACAGAAGAGAGCCTATTTTTATAAAATACACATGATTTACCGTGAGGAGTTACGACTGCCTTTTTAATTTGAAAACGGCAATTTCTTACATTATGGTGACCCAAATAATGTAGGAAAAACGATATTCTCAGTCGTCAATTGATAATCAGAAAATTCTAGCTATGTAACTGTTACGAAGGTTTGAACAAAATACAAAAGAATACAGGCTTGCAGGTTTTAACATAAAGATATGTAGAAATAGAATATTTCAAGTTTATACATCATCTTATGAATATTAATGAGAAATAAATGACGTGGTAGCAATCTCATGAATAAATTGCACACCATTTCTCCATATCAGGATGTTATTTTTACCGTTTTCGAATAAAGTGATCAAATTTATGTGTTGTAACCGATATCCTATTGACCACGAGTTTCCTAAGGCCTAAAAAATATTATGTTTGTTTCCTGTAACCCGACCGACCCATTCAAATTATCCCCGTGTGGATTTTTTTTCCTGACAAATGACAAAACTTCGTTTGATCAATCAGCTGATTCCATTTATCAAATAAAAAAAATAGCTTGTAGCTTAATTTGAGACATAAAAAATTTTCCGGCATGCACGAGAATGTTTATACCGTTCCTTCAAACTTTGAACTTTGCAGAATATGAATTTCACGATACTAGTGAAAACTAGAGGTACTGTGAGCAATGAGCTCACTAAATGATACCCCCCGCCTCCCATAATGTCGATGTGTTGCTTTATATTGTTTTACGGTAATGTGTAAAGAGGAATAACTCGTCCCGTCAAATGTTATCCAGAAGCTTCTATTATGTGACGTCATAGGTAAACAAAAAATGGCAATGTCCATGTTTTGCTCTGGGAAACCTAAAATACGTGTCGAATAAAAAAGTAAAATAGGAGGTGCACAATGGCAATATGTAATGAAGATTCTGTGAAAGTTTCATTCAATTTCACTCAGTAGTATAAGAGGAGTTGCGGATAAGAGAAAAAGCGTAACAGACGGACGGACGGACGTACAGACGGACGGACGGAAATCCCGATCACTATATACCCTCCCGCTTTTCAAGCGGGGGGTATAATAAGTTCTCGTTCATTCTAACATGTCTCCACAATAAGTTAAATGATGACTAAAACTAAATTTTGCATCTATGTCACGTTTTAGATCTTTTATATATTCCAATGTCAGGATATTCATACTCGTACTGTAAACGCGACTACGTTCAACTTATGACGTTGTAGACATAAATAACGCCAAAAACGCAACATTTAGCAATATAAAAGCAAATTTGAAATAATTTAGCAAAAAATCTAGCGAGAAGACATATTAATTTTATTATATCAATAGTTTTGATTTCATCTTATCTTGACATTTTGAAATTCCTGACTAATTCGTCTACGTCTTTAAAAAATTATCCAACCTTTTTAAAAGAGACTATTTTCTCAAAATTGGCTTAAAAATGTCATATTCCCATGTTTCAATAGTAAAGCGTAAAAAAAGTACTGAAAACCGCGTTTACAGTACTACAACACATAGACCTAAAACGAAGGGGTTCGTTTTAGGTCTATGTACAACATTAAAACTACGTAGGCAAATTTAATAAAAATCGCAGATAATACGCTGTTAATTTTATGGAACATTATATCAAATTTTCAGGATATGTTTTCTCGTAAGAATTTTTAAGCAGTAAACCCGCGACCTACCTTAAGGCTTATTCCCTTGAACACCCCTCTGGGAGGTGCACTCCGTTGACCCCCCTATCTTCCCAGGGCCTATGTCCTAGATCTTGACCCACCTAACCCCCCCCCCCAACTATTGACCACGTGATCCTCTTAGCCAATCAGAATCCAGCATTTTTTACCTCATTTGCATAAAAAGTGCACTCAGTTGACCTCTGTATCTAGACCGTTTACTACTCACGTGGATTGGCGGATCAAGAGCCCGTAAATTATGAGGAACACAGGCACCAAACTCGTTTGAATTTTTGACCACCTAGTATATTATGTACAGGCACCAAACTCGCTTGATTTTTTGACCCCCTAGCATATTATAATATACTAGGGAGTAAAAAATTCAAGCGAGTTTGGTGCCTGTGACCCTATGGTAGAGAGTGGTCAAAGATTTCTATAAAATGTACTCCTATATATCTCAGGCTATTCTTAAATGGGTCCAATTTTATAACATATGTAACATGTTCAAGCAATGTTATAAACCCGGAACTCAGTCGGAAAAGACCGACTTTTAGACTAGCATAATCATAATTACCTCTTTTGACAGAAGAGTTTGCAGATGAAACCGCGAGAAATGTTTTTACTAAAAAATAGGGGCCTGTGCTCTTTTCTGCAAAATGATGCTATGGTTATTTTGTAATAGATTTATAAAAAGACATCTGAACTAGATATCTTGTGACAGGGTATATTTTGTGCTCAAATTAATTTGAGAATCGAAAGTGAAAATAGCTACTATCAGTATCAATGTTTTCCAAGTACAGTAACACGAATTGAAGTCTTTTGAGTTTTCTTTATGGGACTTATCTTTCCTAGATATGATAATCAACTGAACACGATAAGATATATCAACAACCAAGTAGAAAGGTCGATGATGCTGTCGATGATGTGATTGGTCAGTACCGAATATGATACAGATTAAGCGGTTGCTGCAAACTGGTAAATATAAACGCCTAAAAGTAAAACGGGCATTATTTTAGTACAAAGACCTGTGGATTAAAATAAACCTTCAACAAAAATAATTTTTTTTCTCAAATATACTTAATATATTTGAGCAGGTAATCTTAAGCATGGGTAATAGCTATCAAAAACAGCAACAGATTCTTCTGTCACGTTCAATCGTACCCAAATCTATCTGGAAGAAACGGAAGTTTACATGATCACATGGACAGATAATCATTCTAAAGACAAAACTCCTTTTCATACCATAGGGTCTAATTTCTGTCATTTTTCAAATGAATTTGAACTCAAATATTCTTACATTAATCTATTGCAAGATGTGACATACAGTAACTGTAGATTCCTTATTTTTCACGAGTACTTATGAAATGGATCATTTTGTCAAATCGCAAAAACAATAATTCCCGAGTAGACGGTTGATCAAAAGATTTTGCATGGATTTCAAAACTATGAAAATAAAAGTGTTTAATTTTGTTTCATGAGTGGTGCCTCATGCAAAATCACTCAGTAATGAATTTGTGGCATATATTTCGGAATTTACAGTAAATAAAACTCACATTGAATATATTGAATTAAATCTGCTTTGAGTGATTTCATCCTGCATAGAAATAATACCATATAATCCCTGTTAACCGCCCGGGTGCTTAGAAAATTGCAAAAATGGGGCGTTAATTTTTGTATTCTCTCTATAATTTTTATTATCATATTTTAACTTCAAATCTTTTGGAAAAAAAGTTCAAAGAACCACTAAAATAATGTCTTACTTTAATTAAGTGAAGATAGTCCACCCAAATTCCTCTAAAATAATTCATTTTCCATCGAGAAATTGGATAATAGACAAGTTTCATTTTCACTTCCTTCAAATTTTGGCAGATTTTGATACGATTCTAGATGATTTTAATCACTGTATATGGGGGTCCTTATTCCCTGACAATTGAAAAAAAAGCCTAGAGGGGCGGTTATAGGGGCAGAGGCGGTTAAAAGGGATTATACGGTATTCCATTTCGTTATCAACAATATGAATAGAATCTCATTTACTGGTATACTTAATTCATCTCTAGAAGAAATATTTAATTCGAGTTTTATTTTTGTTTTAATATTAGGAATAAAGAAATATCTACAACAAAACAATGTGTGAGGAAAATGGATACAGATGAAAATTCCAGCAACAGTTCTTCCTGCACAGTGCTAGAGATTGATGAAGGGGAAGAAAATTGGAGCAGCAGAGCAAGAGGATCCTGGGGAAACAGTGAGAGCATAAAGAGAGAACATTTTTCAAGTGATGATTCCAATGAGGATCAAATTAATGATGGAAGGAGAAGAAAAAAGAAAAGGTTAAAGAAAAAATGTCATGATGGTATAAAATCATTGGAAAGGAACAAAACTGCAGGGGACCAACATAGGAAATCAATTCAGGGAACACCAGGGAAGACAAAAGCTCTGTCTTCAACCAAGATTAACATCGGAATACATGGATTTGAGAGTGAACCTATATTTTCACAAGTGCTAAGAAGTAAAAATGGCACTCAGTTCACAGAAAATGATTCTGGGCAGACAGTCTTATTATCTGACGATGACAATGAGGCTGGGGAGCCTAGTAATGTTAGAATTCCTTCAATCCGATTCAGCAGCAGTGATGGAGAAGTGGACACAGAAGAGGAGAATTTACCTTCTCTTGTTAAACCTCACTGCAGACATAAAAACTCTGATTCTGCCGTTAGTTCTCACCTCACGATGAATCACAGGAAGTTCAGTACTCAGGATATTGAAGACAAGGAATTCTGGTCAGATCAGGAAATGAGCAGTTCAGACGATGACACTCCCATTCTCCAATTGAAGCCTGGGAAAATCGCTGCTTCTATCACTAAAAACCCAGAGCCTCAGAATACTGGGAATCAGAAAAAAAATTCCTCTTCCAACTCCACATCTTATTCTCAAAGACAAGTCAAGGAACAAGCTGTAGACAGTGTATTGTTTGAGCATGGAAATCCAGCCTTGAAAGCAGGTATGAAAATTAAAAACGAGTCTCAAATCAATATTAAAACTGAAGAAAGTGATGATGAAACTCAGCCATTTGATGATGACCTCCCTGACCTTTCACCTCCACCAGTTCAACAGTCGCCTGGGTCAGATACAGAGAGAGAGCAATCACCTGAAATATTTCAAGAGGAGGATCCTTCTGATAAAACTGAGGAAGTACTCTACACACAGATGGATGACTGCATCTACATAGAGGATTCAGAGGAGGAGGAACTGTCTCAGTGTCTCTTCCAGCAGGAAGTTAAGCTGAAGCTGGATGACTCTGATGTCGACAGTGAAGTGGAGGACAGTAATGAAGAAAGCTGGCGGGAAATCCTCTGTCTGGATGATTCTGATGATGACATAAATCAGGTGGAACATTTGCATTTGTTATTTACTCATTCATTTTTTTTTAGCATAGGGCATATAAATTCAAATCGATGTGTTGACTGAAAGGTATAAAAAGGATCCAATGTTATGAAGTTTAGAAATATGAAATACCGGTATTATAGAATTTGAATCTTGTATTTTTGATGAGTAAGCTAATGGCTACCACATGTATTTATTATGAATAGACCTTGTACCCTTTTTCCTAGGTGAGAAATGTATATGTTATTCTGAAAAAAAATCTCAAATTTTTAAAAATTATGTTCTTTGTTACAGAGAGTTGACAGTGGAAATGATTCAGAGAAAACTTTGGATTCTGCTTACCAAGTAGCCACCCAGCTTGATGCAGATTTGTACAGGAATTCAACTCAAAGTGACAGAAAGAACGCATATACAAGTGCCACTCAAAGTGACAGAAAAGATCCATACACAAGTGCCACTCAAAGTGACAGAAAAGATCCATATATGAGTGCCACTCAAAGTGACAGAAAAGATCCATACATGAGTGCTACTCAAAGTGATAAAAAAGATCCATACATGAGAGCTACTCAGTGTGACAGAGAAGATCCGTACTTGGGTGAAACTCAGACTGACAACCACCTGGTGTGTTCTAGTGACTCCGAAGACAATGATATTTATAACAGTGCCACACAAGTGGACCAAAACAGAAAGAATATCAGTAGGAACAGACAAACCAGTAAACCGAAGGATTTCTATTCAAATTCTACTCAAGTTGATTCCAGGTCTTCAATTAATGATGAGCCTTCTGAATGGATGGAAGCAGGGCATAAAGAGATGGACCCATACTCATGTGCAACACAGATGGATGTTCAGACAGGGAATAGAAATTTAAATCAGGTTGTGAAGAAGAAAAGTCATTTCAAGATTCAACAGGAGGACAAAGACCCCTATGTCTGCAGTACTCAGGTGGATAATGGCTGGGATGTGAGTAGTTCTCAGGATCCATACTCCGGAGCAACTCAGGTGGATATCTTACATCATTCACCAGACTCTGACAGAACAGATCAGCAGGTTAGGCACGGTGGGGATAGTCCATACTCCGGAGCAACTCAGGTGGATATCTTACATCATTCACCAGACTCTGACGGAACAGATCAGCAGGTTAGGCAGGGAGGGGATCGAGCTCCATCAGTTGATGACCTAGCGGATGAGAAGATTAGTTCTGATCCTTATGACATACAAACTCAGATAGACACTTCTGATCATAAACACATCTCGAGTTACAGTTGGGACTCTGAGAGTGTGTCTGAATCAGATGATATTATTTTGCTGACTGATTTGGAATCTCTAGATGAAGAAGAGGCACAAACTTCCAGTAAGGAAAACACACCCTTAACAAAATCAGACCTACATCCCAGTGACCCATACAAACAGAGTAAAAAAGTTAATATTAGAATTCATGAGACTGAGAATTTAGATAATGTGTACGAATTGGCAACTCAGGTAGATGATGGAGGGGATAAATGTGTTCAGGACCACTCACAGAGTGTGGGGGAGGGGTCCACGATGAGGGGGAACTCAGATAAAGAAGATGAACAGAGAGGGAAGGCAAGGAATGTTTTTGACTTGTACCAAATGGAAACACAAGTTACAGATCACTCAAGTGTCAAACAGGTAGGCATTTTATTTTTTATCACAAAGGAGAAATAAATGAATTATAGGAGGGTTCTCGAGAAATTACACTTGGCATAAAACATTCAGCAATTCCTCTTTTATAGAACAGAATTCTGGTAGAATTCATTTTATCTCATGAATTTGCAGAATTTCACTTATAAATTGTCAAATATGTTTTATATCCCTTTGTTGAATCTATATCTGAGCTTTTAATATGAAACATTTAATTATCGATAAGGATATTACTATTTACTAACACATTTTATTTTTTTGTATAATATGACTACAACCCACGTTGGTTGTGTTGAGGGATGTGATCTTTGCGAACTTTAATACTATACGTAAAATTCAATAGAAAAATAAATGGAACCCATTTATAAAATTTATGTTTAGTTGAAATAGTTCTCAAAAGGCAAATAAAGAAGTTAAACGGAATCAAATTTTGTTTTTATAAATGTTTATTTAAAAAAAAAAATAGTTTTCTGATCTGGAACATATCAGTTATTCAGTTTTCAAAATTACATTTCTAAAGCCAAGCATGATAGAATCAGCTGTCTTTATTTCAGGATGAGGAACCGAAGTCCAGCGAGTCTTGGAGTGATATGGAACTCTACGAAGGTGACACTCAAGTGGATTTTCTGAATGATATCCCATATAAAAGTAAAGCTTCGGATACGCTAAGCAGGGTTCAATTGGCAAACACAAGCTCAGCTTCATCAACAGGAACCTTAAAACAACAATGTAAGTCACTGGAGACGTCTTCAGATGACGTAGAATTAGCAGGTGAAGACGGTAGTAACAACTGGGTGAACACTCCTGTCCCGTTGGAGGAACAGCAGACAAAAGAAGCTGATGGATCAAAGGAATTGGAGTTTCTAAGTTTACAGGTAGGAGGAGAAATACAAAGCTTTATTATTTCATAAGTTTATTTAAGAATATACAGTTGAATCTTGCTTTCTCTAACATCATCTTCTGAAATATTGACATCATGGTTATTTTGAAATTAGTTGGAAGTTCAAACCACTTTTTTTTCTTTATGTATAATACATGTATTTAAAATAGGGGAATTTATGAATCATTTGGATGTTTTGAAAGGTTGTTGGATTTATTGGAAATATACATGTATTATTGTTTATTAGAAGTTTAACTCTCTCCATAGTGGGATTCTGAGATTATTCTAATGGTAGGATTTACAAACTACTGGTTCTCCCCAACATATTTTTTTTTCTCTGAAACAACTTGAATAAGCAATTAATTGATATTTTAAATGTCTTTTTTTTAATTTTAATTTTCAGGCAAAATTAGATGATGTGGAAATGTTTGCAAAGAAGAACAGTCGACAAGACCCAGGCCATTCTACATATAATCCCCCAATGTTAAAGAGGGTTGCATCCTCCAATCAGAGGCCAGTCATCCCCATATCACCTCAGAGGGAAAAGTCCACAAAGGAAAAGCGAGAGCAGTTCAAAGCTAAGAGTTTTTACTCAAAGAAACAGCTAGATTTAGGAGACTCAGGTAGAAGGGTGATGGGTTCCAGCAGTACAAAGACCTCACTTACAAATACTGCTCCTTCTGGAAGTAATGTTGATACGGATAGAAACGAAGCATCAGGATGGCTGTCAAAGAGCAAAGGAAAGATAGATTATAGAAAAAGACGACGGACAAGCAGTGGGGGAGCTCACACAAAGAAAAGGAAAGAGGAAGTGAGATCAACAGTGAACATGGATGCCATAATTAAAGCTAAAGCAGAAATGATTGCTCGGAACTGGATCAAACCATATTTACCAGAACCAGTCAAAAAAGCCAGTATAGGTGAGTTCTTTTTATGTGAGACATTTTAAAAAAAAAATAAAATACTTTTATTTATACATATACTGACTGTAATGTCTATTAAAACAATTCAAACATTTGAATCTGACAGCTAGCCATAAAGTGCTTACAGTATGTTTATGTTTCTGAAGCTAAAACCAGCATTTACTTTATTATGAATTGGAAAGTATACTCTTTTTGAAAGTTTAGTCAGAATAACTAGCATTAGAACTAATCACTTGTTTTATGTTATGCCTCACGATAAGCAATTTTACACTGGCAGCTATATTTTAGTTTGAGCAAGAAATCATTTCTGTTTTTTTTTTAAATATAATTTTTTGAGGGAATGGTTTCTTAATAAATCTTTACTTTTTTGTTATATTCTGGCTTAAATATTTGTTGACAGACACCAGTTCAAATTTTACTGAGGATGTGGAAATGCCAGAACTAGAGGAAGTGAGGAGAAAAGGGCTACCCTTACTAACAACAGAAAACAGACATTCTGATTCCTCATCTGCAAACCAAGGTATGTTTGCTTATTTGTAATTACAAGATTTTAGCTTCAAAATTCTTTACTAGCAGTAATTTACTAATTACACATAGCAAAAAAAAAGCATTAAAAAGTATACTACCTTTAGGATAGAAATAAGGGGGGGGGACATTTTTTTTGGACATAACAAGTCATATTTGTTGCACTTGTCAGTTGGGAGACCCAAGTGTTCTCCGCATAATGTACTTGAAAGACATCAACTTGGTGTTCTTGTACTCATTTAGAAGTTGGTAACTACTATTGATTGTGAGGTAAAAGGTCAAACTTCTCTGGAAATAATGAAATATTGAAACTGGTGTTAACTAGAACTACCTCAAGCATGTTGAGTGTTGTTCAGTGTGTCATTCCCAGCCCTTTGTTCATATGTACATCATGTATAAATGCAGGAAATAATTTCCTTATTAAATGTATGAATTTTATGAATCCTCACCATTTACTTTTCTAAGAAAAAAAGAACGTCAATAAATATAGATATTTTTTAGCTCACCTGAGCCGAAGGCTCAAGTGAGCTCTTCTGATCACATTTTGTCCGTCGTCCGTCCGTCTAGCTGTCCGTCTGTCTGTCTAGCTGTCTGTCCATCTGTAAACTTTTCACATTTTCGACTTCTTCTCAAGAACCACTGGGCCAGTTTTGACCAAACTTGGTACAAAGCATCCTTGGGTGAAGGGGAATTTAAATTCTTAAAATGTAGGGCCAAGTCCCCTCACAAGGGGAGATAATCAAGAAAAGACAAAAATAGGGTGGGGTCATTAAAAAATCTTCTTCTCAAGAACCACTGGGCCAATAAAGCTGAAACTTATATGGAAGCATCCTGGGGTAGTGTAGATTCTAAATTGTTCAAATCATGACCCCCGGGGGTTGGGCGGGGCCACAATGGGGAATCAAAGTTTAACATAGAAATATATAGGAAAAATCTTTAAAAATCTTCTTCTCAAGAATCACTGGACAAGAAAAGCTGAAACTTATATAGAAGCACCCTGGGGTAGCGTAGATTGGAAATTGTTCAAATCATGACCCCCGGGGGTAGGGCGGGATCACAATGGGGAATCAAAGTTTTACATAGAAATATATAGGGAAAATCTTTAAAAATCTTCTTCTCATGAACCACTGGGCCAGAAAAGCTGAAACTTATATGGAAGCACCCTGGGGTAGTGTAGATTCTAAATTGTTCAAATCATGACCCCCTGGGGTAGGGCGGGGTCACAATGGGGAATCAAAGTTTTACATAGAAATATATAGGTAAAATCTTTAAAAATCTTCTTCTCAAGAACCACTGGGCAAGAAAAGCTGAAACTTATGTGGAAGCATCCTAGGGTAGTGTAGATTCTAAATTGTTCAAATCATAACCCCCGGGGGTAGGGCGGGGCCACAATGGGGAATCAATGTTTTACATAGAAATATATAGGAAAAATCTTTGAAAATCTTCTTCTCATGAACCACTGGTCCAGAAAAGCTGAAACTTATGTGGAAACACCCTGGGGTAGTGTAGATTGTAAATTGTTCAAATCATGACACCCGGGGGTAGGGCGGGGTCACAATATGTATTACAAGGGGGAAATCTGGTAAAAAACAGAATGGTCAAAGATTCTCAGGTGAGCGATGTGGCCCATGGGCCTCTTGTTTGTTTTAGGTGAGAGTTCATCCAGTTACGCTGACAGAATTGGTGATCTTCAGACACACAACGAGAATCAAAGACAAGACACCTTAATAGATAATTCTCAGAAATCCCATTCAGGACACAATAAATTAAGTGAATCATTAACAAAAAACACCCTTCATATGTCCAGGTTAAGTCATGGGGAATGTGAACAGAGTTCTAGTGTGAAAGATAAAAGTAGATCAGTTTTGATCTCAAATAAGGAAGATTTAAAGTCCAGCAAGAGCAAGTTTGAAAAATCTTATTTAAAAGACAAGAGTGCCAAGGATAGCTCATCAAAATCTCATTCAAGAGACAAAGTTAGCACCTCAAGACCTAGTAATAAAGATAAGAATAAGAATTATACAAAAGATAAGGACAGGTCAGGGTTCCAAAGTTCAAAGGACAGTAGTAAATCAAAGGAGAAGTCTCATTCAAATAACACTGAAAGATCAGGAGAATCTAGTTCAAAAGAGAAAGAATTGGGAACATCTCATTCAAAACCAAGGGATAGTGCAGGGAAATCCAGTTCCAAAAATATGGATAGTTCAACAAGATCATCCAGTTCAAAAAGCAAGGATGATTCAGGAAAATCGAGCTCAAAAGACAGGGATAGTTCAAGAGATAAGGACGTTTCCAAGTCAAAGGATGGTTCAGGGAGATCTCACTTGAAAGATGAGAAAAGTTATAAAAAATTAAATTCAGAAAGCTCTGGAAAATCAAATTCAAAAGATCGGGATAGTGGTTGTAGAAAAAATAGTTCAAAAGACCGGGATACTTCAAGAAGATCCAGCTCAAGAGAACGACATAGTTCCTCTAGTTCCCAGCATGCATCAGAAAATCATATCTCCAAAAACAGTACTTCATTGGCTCATTCAAAAGTTTCGGATAGTTTAAAATCTAGTAAAAAAGACCAGGATGATAGACATAGCTCTAGTATATCAAGATCTAAACATAGTTCAGAGAGATCACATTTAAAGGACAAAAATGGGAAATCAGAGGAAAAGGATACAAAAAGATTCAGTTCAAAAGAACATTCTTCATCAGATGCAAAGAAAAAGGATAGTTATGGAAGAAAAACACAAAACCACAGGAGTCTGGGGGGAAATGGGAAAGAAAATTCTTCTAGTAGCAGTTCTAGGAACCCTTCTTTATTAGAGTCCATGGATATCCCAAAAGATTCTAGTGGATATAATAGACATGAACAATTAAAAAATTTAAACTCTGAATTCAATGAAGAAAATAAGTATTTGGAAGAGAAGAAAATGTCAGAAGTTTTCAAGTTACGGCCTACTACTGCTGAATACCGTGATGACAGGGCATCCAGAACAAAAGTTGGGTCTGATGTTCTGACATCACCAAGTGGTTCTCCTGCCACGGGAATGATAGGAGGCACCCGTGCTGTGGGAATGATAGGCAGTGCTGGGTGTTTACAGCAGATAGGGGGCACTGGGTGTCTACAGCAGAATGAAGAGGTACAGGAGGAGGAGGAGGATGTAAAGCCGGGAAAACTAGCAATGGCAGCTGCTTTTGAAAAACTCATCTCCTCACAGGAAATGGAAGAAGATGGATCCAGTGGATCCAATGTTATTATCATTGATGATGATGATCTTGATGATGTTGGTGAAGAGGTAGAGATGGAAACATCGAAGAAGCAAAATTTTGTGAAGGATGTCTCTGGCATTAAATCCATCCTCAACAAAGAATTTCGTACATTTTTTGCTGACAAAAATGATGAACGTGCCAGACGAGGGCAGTGTGTCAAATTCAGACTTGCACCAGACCGTGCTGCATTGCGCACTCAAAAGTATGTCAACTCCCTCATCCAGAAGAATAAGGGAGGAATTCAGCCAGGGCAAAGTAGTGGACATCAACCAGTACATAGTCAACATCTTACACCCACCGAGAGCAGGACAGTGGAGAAAGGACCTCGTAATTTCCAGCAAAGTATTCCTAGAAAAGTAAGTGAGTGCTTATATGGTATGTAAGACTGCTAAACTAACATTAAGATGTGTATATTTTGGTTGGTATCCTGTAGTTTCAGGCAGTATCCAGCATGGACTCAGCTTGTGGGTCAACTCAGAACAGACAGGTCAAGGTCAATGGGAGGTCAGCTGGGACAGAAAGTGACCACTGCTCTCAGTTCTTCAAACACCTTCTAAAGTGGAATCCATCCTGGTTTGCAGAAGCAGGTATGTAGAGAGTAGTGTGTATAAAAGTACAATAGTACATACTAGTTAACAGGCAAGTACTTAAAGAGAATACTGTGTATAAAAGTACAATAGTACAAACTAATATCTTTCGGTTTCTCTGTGTTGGTGTTTTAATAAAACAGTTTTTAAACAGACTTTGGCAAATATGACCCCATAGGCATTTTGTTTTAAAAGCAAGTCACTGGTTGTTACTATGACCAGTTTTTAACGTGAATTATACTGTAGATTCCTAAATATAAGTTAGTGTTGCCTAATTTTACAAGGATAACAGTTTTACAGTCTGGTTATGGATTCACATTTTCATACTTTTTATCAAATTATTTCAAGATTATTAAAGATCAGCATCTAAGTTAAGGAATCAATAGTACTAGCAATTGTCTGCATATTTTTGACTTATTGGTACAGAGAAGTTAAAATATTTATTTCAGCTAAAGCTCGAGGTAAAACTTATTTTCTCTATTCTAATCATTCACCAGACATTCTGCACTTATCACACTTCCTTGTGCCTCAAATTTTGTTCAGAAATATTTTTGCATGACCGGCAGTGATGTTGTTGGTGGGGGTTATTATCGTTATAAAATCACTGTCTTCCCATCTTCATCTCAGGTGGTATCAGAACTTAATTAAAAATGTTGCAATTAATGAATGATGATTTTAAGGCCTGCTTTAGATACTGATACATTTGAAGCTTAAGTGTGTCTGGTTTAGGTCATCATTGATATCTACTCCATCTGTATGGTAATGATAGGAGTGTTATCTGGCCTTATATTATGATGTTTCTGTGGATGATTACTGTAATACATGCTTCAGATGCTTTTTCTGACTTACATTTTATGATTCAAAATTGCATGACTTTTGTTAATATATTAGCTAGCTTGCCTCTCTGAAACATCTTCATGCATTTACATCAAAGGTTCCCCAAAAGCATGTGGACATTTCAAGAGCACTGTTTACATTTATAGATTTAAAGATATTTGGAAAATGCTTTCAAGGGGAAATAATTTATTTTAGTTATATTAAAATCAGGGCTGCAATCCTTAAGTAAGGGAAGACAGTGATAGAAATAAAATCAAAAGTAGTGGTTCCTAAGAGAACCTCTGAAAGAATATCATTAAACTTATGCTTAAAGGGTGAGGGTATGTTGTAAATGAAAACTTGTTTAATTCAGTGCCTTGGGGCAAAGGGTTTGAAGGGTTCACTTCAGAATTGACCCTAAATGATGTTTTGTTAAAATTTTGATATTTTTACTAAAAGGACTTGGATTATCAAATCTTGTCAGACGATGCATCTTGAATCCTTTGGATGTTTCAAACAAAAGTAGGTCACTACGACTGTTTTAAAAAGGAATTTCACTTTTTATCTCATAATTTAGGACTAGGGTGCTTAGAATCATTGAACTTAAATTGACTGATTGTGTGAGCCAGAAAGAATGTCACAATTACTGTTTTTGGAATAGGGCTATATATAAGTATTTCAGGTAATTCAACATGATACAATGCTTGTATTCATCCATCTTTGTCAGTTGATGCAACTTGTGTTGTCAGTTTATTAATCAAAAAGTAGGTCATGGTGAACTACTCTTAGAATCGGACAAAAAGGTAGAAGTGATGAAGTTGTAAAATTTATCAGCTATTCTAGGCCTTGAGCTTCTTTTTGTCATTGGTATGTGCTTCACAGGGCTTTAATTGGTCACTGCATGGATTTTTCCATGGATGTTGGGTTTATTTATATTTTTGAAGAAAGAGAAGAGAGAGACCATTTTTTAAAAAAAATGTTGGGTTTCCCCCTCCCTACCACCTACTGACCCAATGATTTAACCATGAGTCGGGAAACAGCAATCAAACATTATTTTAAAGATGGCCTGAGTATAAAATAAAAATGAGCAAAGTTTATTTATATATTATCTTCATTTCTATTAACATTATAAATAGGTGCTCTTAAGTACCTTGTAGGATAAACATTTTTGGAAGATGCATCATTATAATTGTATGTTTTTGTAGGATAGTTAATGTTGGTTTTTCAGAAGACAAGGCTCGTAGAAATTGTTATGAGCCCCCACCTGTGTCAGGCGAAGTGTTTCAAATTCCAGAGAAGTTTGACAACTACAAGGATTATGTGGACATATTTATACCTCATCTGCTGCAGGAGGCATGGGAGCAGGTAGGATATGTTTATATGTAAGGATTCACTGAAGGAGATGTAGGAACAGGTAGGATATGTTTATATGTAAGGATTCACTGAAGTAGATGTAGGAACAGGTAGGATATGTTTATATGTAAGGATTCACTGAAGGAGATGTAGGAACAGGTAGGATATGTTTATATGTCAGGATTCACTGAAGGAGATGTAGGAACAGGTAGGATATGTTTTTATATGACAGGATTCACTGCTAGAAGCAAATTAATTATTAGAAATTATTTATAAAGTTTACATATTTACCAAAAAAAAAAATTAAATTATAAATAATTTTTCTGGTAAATATGTCAACTAAATATAATTTTCTATATTTGTATGAATGGTATGAATTTCCAAAGAATCTGTCAGACTATACATGTAGTCATCATAGATGAGAAAAGATCTGGGTTGTCACCATTATTATTAGGGATGTCAAAATTGTCAATACAAATTTAAACAATTTTTGGCTATACATTGTGTATGTCACTCAAAGTTTTTTCCCCTTTGGATCAAATTTAGAGATATAATTTATTGTTGAAATAATCCTACCCTGAGTTTTAGTCCTAAACTTACTTGTAATCCTACCATGTGTTTTATTTCATCCTATCTGACTTATCATCCTACCATGTGTTAAGTCCTATCTGACTTGTAATCCAACCATGTTTTAGTCCTACCAGATTTGTAATCCTACCATGTGTTTCAGTCCTATCTGACTTGTAATCCTACATGTGTTTGAGTCCTATTTGACTTGTAATCCTACCATGTGTTTTAGTCCTATCTGACTTGTAATCCTACCATGTGTTTTAGTCTTATTTGACTTGTAATCCTACCATGTGTTTTAGTCCTATCTGACTTGTAATCCTACCATGTGTTTTAGTCCTATCTGACTTGTAATCCTACCATGTGTTTGAGTCATTCCTGACTTGTAATCCTACCATGTGTTTGAGTCATTCCTGACTTGTAATCCTACCATGTGTTTGAGTCATTCCTGACTTGTAATCCTACCATGTGTTTCAGTCCTGTCTGACTTGTAATCCTACCATGTGTTTCAGTCTTATCTGACTTGTAATCCTACAATGTGTTTCAGTCCTATCAGAGCTGGAGGACATGGAAGAACCTGAATCCTTGTCCACAAATTGCAGCTGTTTATTCATCTGTGGAGAAGAGTGATACAAGCAGTGATGCATTTGAAAGATACACATGGTATAGTAAGTATTCCGTATCCATCATCAGCCAATGACATCCTCCTAGTCAGTCATACAAGTTCAAGGTCACATCAGATGCTTTTTGTCAAACTTCGGTTCAATAAGACAATGTCAGGATAACATTATCAGTCACCTAGTACATGTAGCAACAATCTTGTACTGTTCTACTAAGAATAATTTATGTAACAAACACTAAAATAAAGAGATTGAAGCAATAAGATACTGTAATCCGACATTTATATGTGTGAAATAAATATACACTATAGGTAAAATGTGAATAATCTATTTTATATTTCAAGCTTTATATTCATTTGTAATAAATGTATTGAAAACTCGAGTACAGGTTTTGTAGACTAGATCAATTGCTTTCCAGGTATAGTTACAAAACATGTGTATGAAACAATGAAGAAAAATGATCAGCTGGGTGAAAAATTCCTTGTCGTCATAAAAGACTATGGCCATTACCTGAAAAGTAAGGAAAGGAAAATGGATGAAAGGTTTTACCAACCGAATTATTGGGACCAGATTGGATACATAGAAAAAATCCAGCCTCATACCCATCCAGAGAAAGTAAAACAGACCCTTAATACATTTAAAGTTTTAGGTTAGTACTCCTAAATTGCTTCTGTTCATTTAACAGATAAATAGATACCCAATGTTTTGTAGTTGGATATAGAACTATTTCAAAAATGGGACAGGATTTTTATGCGCCCGGATCGATAGATCCAGGGCGTATATTGTTTTTGTCCTGTCTGTCTGTCTGTTTGTTTGTTTGTCCCGAACTTTAACCTTCACCATAACTTTTGAACCATGAAAGATAGAGACTTCATATTTGGTATGCATACTCCACTAATTAAGCTTTTTCAAATGACACCAAGGTCAATGACCTTGTGACCTTGACTGTGGCCTATATGCTAAAAATAGCTTTTTTTCAGCAAACTTTAACCTTCGCCATAACTTTTGAACCATGAAAGATAGAGACTTCATATTTGGAATGCAAACTCCACTAATCAGGTTCTTCCAAATGACACCAAGGTCAATGACCTTGTGACCTTGACTGTGACCTTAATGCTAAAATAGCTTTTTCCGAACTTTGTTGCCGCTGGGCGCATAGTGTTTCACAAACACATCTTGTTTCAATATATTTTTAGCTCACCTCAACGAAGTTGGGGGAGATTATGTAATACCTTCGGCGTCGGCGTCCCTGGTTAAGGTTAAGTTTTTGGGAGCAGTTTTCTTTTTAAGTACTTCTATGTCCTATATTGATTAGACATGCATGGAAGATGTTTCTAGTGTGTTTCATTGTACCAGTCAAAGTTTCAGATGCTGCAATTTTAGCGAAGGAATGACCAGGTTAATGTTTTTGGAGAAGGTTAATATTTTTGGTGCAGTTTTTGGTTTAGGTCTCATTTCCGAGTAACTATAAGCCCTATTATGACCAAACTTGCATGGATGGTACATCTAAGGATGCATACTACCAGGCTTGCTTTGGATGCTGAATATGACCTACATTTTCCTCATGAGTGAACAGGTTTATGTTTTCGATGCAGGTCTCATTTCCAAGTAACTATGAACACTATAATGACCAAACTTGCATGGATGATACATCTAAGGATGCATACTACTAGACTTGCTTCAGATGCTGAATCTGACCTACATTTTCTGCATGAGTGAACAGGTTAAAGTTTTTGGTGCAGGTTTCATTTCAAAGATACTATGAGCCCTATAATGACCAAACTTGCATGGATGGTACATCTAAGGATGCATACTACCAGATTTGCTTTGGATGCTGAATCTGACCTACATTTTCCGGTTGATTGAACAGGTTAAAGTTTTTGGTGCAGGTCTCATTTCCAAGGTACTATGAGCCCTATAATGACCAGACTTGCATGGATGGTACATCTTAGGATGCATACTACCAGACTTGCTTCGGATGCTGAATCTGACCTACATTTTACGGTTGATTGAACAGGTTAAAGTTTTTGTTGCAGGTTTCATTTCCAAGGCACTATGAGCCCTATAATGACTAAACTTGCATGGATGATACATCTTAGGATGCATTCAACCAGCCTTGCTTTGGATGCTGAATCTGACCTACATTTTCCAGTTGATTGAACAGGTTAAAGTTTTTGGTGCAGGTTTCATTTCCAAGTAACTATGAGCTATGAACTATTGTCCAGATAATGGACCTCGTAAAAGTTATGGGTGCAGGTCTATTACCAAGAAATTATAAGGCTTATATGAACCAAACTTGCACAAATGATGCATCAAGGAATGAAATCTCAAACTTGCTTCAGATGCTGGATTTTAATTACGTTTTCATGATGAAGAACTAGTTCGATGTTTTTATATAGGTCTATTCCAAAGTATCAAATCAAAATTGCATAAATTTTGCATTTTTTTGGATATACACTTTTTGTTGGTTAATTGTGTGACTTTGCCTTACTTAAAGACAACATTCGTTGAGGTGAGCTTTGTAATCTCTGATTACCTATGTTTTTACAAAACAAAGAAAAATTTTAGACCAACATCTTGAGTTTAAAATTGGGGAAGATTCCCATATGTGGATATCGAAAGGTATTCAATAGGGTCTTTAACTAAAGTGTAAACTTAAAGGTATAAAAACAGATCACCAACGCTTCGTGAGAATGCAGCAGTCAATTAATTTTGTTGACTGGTTTCGACCAGGGAATTGGTCATAAGAATGATCAAGCATGTGAATTGATCTATTGAAGTAAAAAAAAATGTAGGTTTCATTTAAAAAAGTCTGGTTTCATTAAATTCTATTTCTGAATAGTCCTACTTTGGGAAGGAAACTAATTGTTCGTAAAATTACATTGAATTAATTAACAGACTTTGTAGAACAAGTATTAATAATTTCTATAGAATGTTCAAAAGTTCAGTGTAGTTTTATGATGAAATTTGTTTAGACAATACGTGAAGATTCGTGAAGTATAACCTAATGTCCCCATGTATAACTTTAAGCACTCTATTTAAATGTACAAACCTCCTGTATTATTTCCATTGTGACGTCACAGTCTACTGAAACAGCCTGAACTGCCACAAGGATGATGAAACAGAAGAATAACAATCCACAGAATTTATGGACTATTTATTTATCCTAAAAACAATTATTAAATTTATTTACTAAATCTTAATTCAGAAAACTTTAGAGGAAACACGAAGTGTTTATATCTTGTATAAATCACCATTGTTAAGCAAGTCCGCATATGTACAAAACAGTCCCATTTTATATTGTTTATAGCAACGTCGTCCACATGGTTTACTTCAATAGATAAATTCACATGCTAGTCCCTGGTCAAAACCAGTCTATAAAATAAATTTACTGCTGCATTCTCATGAAGTGTTGGTGATTTTTTTTTTTTTACAAGTGAGAAGTATTTTTTAGGTGGGTAAAGAATGGGAACATTCATGTATTAGATTTACCTGTATATAAATTAAATTTCTATAATTAAAAGTAAAAAAGAAATATTAATTCATATTAGAAAACTAATGTCTATTTAAAATAGAGAAAAATATGAGATAAAGATATTTCTAAAATAGAAAATTTGACATAAGTCCTCCCATCCACCCTATGTTTGAGGCAAATGAAGATTCAAATCTTTTCATTTAATGTAGCCTTTTGTAATAAGGCTTAGTTTGGGGTCATAATAAATGGCTTCATTAGTTATAACATACTCAGTGATGTAAGCTAGCATTGTGGCCCTTGAACCTCTTATTGATGTTTTTATTTTGTTATTTCATTGTTTTAGGAACTGATCCTTCCTCACATCAGAATGGAGTTATTGTCCTATGTTTAACTATACTCAGTCGACGACGCCCACTCTTCAAACACCTGTTGGATAAACTATCTTATATACAGGTAATTAGCTCAAATCATTTAAATGCAAGAGATAAAATGTGTAATAGATATATTGATATTGATTAGTATTTTTAAACTTCTTGTATGACGGCAAAGTGGCTGGCTGGAAAATACTGTTTATGTGGTGAAAATTTTATTGAGATGCAAATTTAGCGATTTGTCCTGGAAAAATTGGTATTTATTTTAAGCGAGAAGTAATTTTAGAGATTTTTAAATGTTCACTAACGAAGCAATTACAAATAAAATTAATTTTTAGGGATATTCAATTATAGACATCTCAGCACCCTTGCTAATTATGCCCAAATTAATCCTCGCTAAAAATTCTGCTTATATGGTAGGATAATGTCTTGTCTATTAGGATGTTAGGATCACTATAGAAACAAAGTAGAAAATATAAGTAATCATCTATACTAGGGTTTGGATAATTGTCATTTAAAAATCACCTAATTGAATTACATGTACTTAGTGTCTCATTTTTACTTTTGATATTTCTATTGTAGAAGGTGTTAGTTTCATTAAAAATATATATAATTTTTTAGCCTTTGTGTTCTTTGGTGACCACTGTGCGTCAATTTAATGCTGTTAGCAGTCTTCCCAGAAGTCCACTGTGTCATCACATCCTGATTCCTGGGCAGAAGGACGTGTTTCACCAGAATGTGACAGTCGCTGAACCAGAGAAAAAGGCTCTAGTAAGTCCTTTTATTTTTATTTTCTTTTTTTCTGATTTGCATAATCATGGTAAGTGGATATGAATTTAAAACCTAGCACTGCATGTTTGAAAAAAATGTTTATTTATTAAAACTTTTGGTTCCCATGTCATCCTGTCCTTTTAATATGTTATCCTACCCTTTAGCCATGTTATCTTTACACCATGTTGTCCTTTTACCATGTTATTTTATATTTTTTCACAAGATTTGTAATGTTGTGTGCTAAGGAAACTTTAAAATTTGTAGGTCATTGTTAATTTGTCCTTGAAAAAAAAATGAGGACAATCATGTGTTCCCTTGTACTGTAAAATAACATTTTTTCATGGGGTCAATTTTTCGTGGCTTAAGGAAAAACTCTTGGTTCACAGGAGTTTGAATTCGTGGATGAAGAATTGTTGAGTAGTGATGTATGCAACATTTTACATTTTGTGGTGGACATGTATTGAATTTGTGGGTCTTTTCATACCTCAAAAACAGCAAAAATTACCCCCCACGAAAATTTGTGATTTCACAGTGTTCCAATCTGTAACTGAAGTGGTGTGTTGTAGAAGCAGTACAACGACTCCCAGAGGCTAGCCATCTGTACAGCGTCAAAGATGATACTAGAGAATTCACAGGCCCCAAAGATCTGTCTCCTTCAAGGTCCCCCAGGCACAGGCAAAAGTTTCACTGTCGTGGGCATTGTAGAAAAGATTTTACAGGTAATTATCACAGGCAAAAGTCTCTTTGTTGTGGGCATTGTAGAAAAGATTTTAAAGGTAATTATCACAGGCAAAAGTCTCTTTGTTGTGGGCATTGTAGAAAAGATTTTAAAGGTAATTATCACAGGCAAAAGTCTCTGTGTTGCTGGCATTGTAGAAAAGATTTTACAGGTAATTATCACAGGCAAAAGTTTCACTGTCGTGGGCATTGTAGAAAAGATTTTACAGGTAATTATCACAGGCAAAAGTCTCTTTGTTGTGGGCATTGTAGAAAAGATTTTACAGGTAATTATCACAGGCAAAAGTCTCACTATCATGGGCATTGTAGAAAAGATTTTAAAGGTAATTATCACAGGCAAAAGTCCCACTGTCATGGACAACAGATTAAGATGTTTGAGGTGAAATGAGAGTGAGATGTTTGAGATGAAATGTGAGTTTTTAGAAATGAGTATGAGATGTTTGAGAAATGAGTGTGAGGTGTTTGAGATGAAATGAGTGTGAGATGTTTGAGATGAAATGAGAGTGAGATGTTTGAGATGAAATAAGAGTGAGATGTTTGAGATGAAATAAGAGTGAGATGTTTGAGATGAAATGAGAGTGAGATGTTTGAGATGAAATGTGAGTGAGATGTTTGAGATAAAATAAGAGCGAGATGTCTGAGATGAAAAGAGAGTGTGATATTTGAGATGAAATGGGATTAGGATGTTTGAGATGAAATGAGAGTGAGAAGTTTGAGATGAATTGAGAGTGTGATGTTTGAGATAAAATGAAATTAAGATGTTTGGGATGAAATAAGAGTGAGATATTTGAGATGAAATGAGAGTGAGGTGTTTGAGATGAAATGAGAGTGAGATGTTTGTGATGAAATGAGAGTGAGGTATTTGAGTTGAAATGAGGGTGAGGTATTTGAGATGAAATGAGAGTAAGATGTTTGAGATGAAATGAGAGTGAGATGTTTGAGATGAAGTGAGAGTGAGGTATTTGAGTTGAAATGAGAGTGAGGTATTTGAGTTGAAATGAGAGTAAGATGTTTGAGATGAAATGAGAGTGAGATGTTTGAGATGAAATGGGAGTAAGATGTTTGAGATGAAATGAGAGTGAGATGTTTTAGATTAAATGAGAGTGAGGTTTCTTTTTTGTTCCAGTCGAAAATGATATATTTAAAAGCAGCTTATTAAGACAAAAGTGTTACATTATTGATATCAGGTAGTGTATATACAAAAAAAATAGGGAAAAAATGTGTCAACCCAAGTTTTAAAAAGAAAAACAAGGGGGGGGGGGTCCAACCATCAAGTCCTGTGATCTCAACTATTCATGATTTTGCTTCTTTGATTTTTTATTTGATATTCATTCCTTTCTGCATTTAATTTATGAAATGGATTCTTTAACCAAAGAAATGTGCATTTTATGAAATAATTTTCTTTCTGCAGCTCTGTGGGTCCCATTTGCGGATTTGTTTGTGTGCTCCATCCAATAATGCTGTTGATCTTCTAATAAAACGTTTGGATGACCACAAAAGAGAAAAAAGAAACACAGGTATGACACTATAGATCTCATATAGGTGGATGTATTTGATATGCCCCCCTTCGAAGAAGGGAGGGCAGATTGCTTTACTGCTGTCTGGTCTGTCGGTCCACCAAGTTTCCATTCATTTTCTTCACAGAGGTTGCTACTACTGAAATGAAATTTGGTATACAGATTTATCATAAGATTATCGAGATTAAGTTCTGTTTTTTGGGTATGATTGAGCCATTTTTGACAGAGTTATGCCCCTTGGACTCAGAAAAATTCCATTTATATGCAGTTTCTGTTGATTTTCTTTGCAGAGGTTGCACATACTGATATGAAATTTCGTTTACAGATTTATCATAAGAATATCTAGGTCAAGTTCCTTTTTTGGTACGATCGAGCTAATTGGGAGTTATTCCCCTTGGACTTAGAAAAAATCCAATTTATATGGGGGGGGGGGTATAAGTGTTTTACAAACATCTCTTGTAGCTATACAATTTAACTTTGTAACAAGTTACTATAACTTTTATTGATATGTTGATATGGTAATGTTTATATTTGCATAATCAGTTCCTTGTAATGATAAACCTATTGAATTTAATATGGAATAGAACACAAATCACCCGATCAATTGATCTGTTTTTGCTTGGCAGTCCATCAGTTCTTTTTGTCAGTACTTCAGTTTTTAGCCTCACCTGAGCTGAAGGCTCAAGTGAGCTTTTTTGATCGAAATTTGTCCGTTGTCTGTCATTATCCTTGCTTCACATTTTCAACTTCTTCTCAAGAACCACTGGGCCAATTTCAACCAAACTTGCCACAAAGTATCCTTGGGTGAAGGGGATTCTGATCATTCAAGTTTGTACAAATGAAGGGCCACACACACCCTCTTCCAAGGGGAGATAATAATGAATACGTAAAAGATAAATGGCATCTTTTAAAAATCTTCCCAAGAAACACTGTACTAGTAAAGAAGAAACTCATGTGGAATCACCCTTAGGTAGTGCAGATTCAAGTTTGTTCAAATTATAACTCCCAGGGGTAGGATGGGGCCACAATGGACGATCAAAGTTTTACATAGGAGTTTATTGGAAAAATCTTGAAAGATCCTCTCAAGAACCACCGCATAGGGAAAGATGAAACTCATGTGGAATCAGCCTCAGGTAGTGTAGATTCAAGTTTGTTCAAATCATGACCCCCGAGGATAGGGTAAGGCCACAATGGATTATCAAAGTAATACATAGGAATATATAACCCTGTAAAATCTGTAAAAATCTTCTTCTCAAGAACCACTGGGCCAGGAAGATGAAACTCATGTGGAATCATCCTCAGGTGATGAAGATTCACATTTGTTAAAATAATGACCCCCGGAGGTAGGGTGTGGTCAGTCTTGCCCCTGTGTAACTACAAGGATAGTTCCTTCTTTACATGTAGGTATATTTCACTTATACATTGATAGCTTGTAAATGGAAACCTGTACAATCACTGTGAGTTCATTCCCATTTTACTGTCTCTCCCTTCTCTACTCTTGTGTAATCCAGTACCCTGTGTTCTCCGACACAAAATTTGTCTCCGTTGCCATCTTAAATTTGAAATGTTTCACTATAACTGCCTTCTAGGAAGGTTGGTTGATTTTTTCCGTGCCGATTTCAGACCTTTATTGCACACAGTAATATGATATCTTCATCTATAATAGATTTTGCCTCTGCCTTGTCCATGGTCAGAATAGGAAATACAGAGTCTATCCACAGAGATGTCAGGAAGTTTAGTCTGTCATACCTGGTACAGCAGGAGGCCACTAAATGTAAGGTTCTACTCAGGATCTGTGGATGACACATAATTCCTGTCGTTATCCTAATTCTATCAACTAATGAATGATAAATGAAAGTCTATAATTAGAAATGGAAAGGGGGGGGGGTGTAGGGGAGTTAATCTCATGAGATGGAAAGAGTCCCTGCATGCCTTCATGGTGATATCAATATTTATTACAAAACTGTCATTATTGATATCCCACACAAATTTTTTGTTAACTTATAAATCAGTTGATTTCTAGCATTTATTTCATACAAAGTCTAAATTTTGTATTTGAATTATACAAACTTTGTTTTAAAAAAAATCAAAAATTAAATTTAAGTGACCAAAACCATCTTTTGTATAGTGTACATTTTGCAAAACGAAAAGCTGTTTAATGTTGATGGAACAAACTAAATAAACATATTGAATTTATTTGTTTTGCTACCCCTGTAGAATTATTTTTTAAAATTATGAACTTTTACAGTGAGAAGAGAAAAGAAACTGGAAAATATCCCTTCAAGTGTTCGAGCAAACTATGATCAAATGAAACAAAAGATGGAAATACTGAGAAGTAAAAGAAGCAAAAGTAAAGGAGAGGAGGTAACTGTCTTGTTGTAATCAGAGGAAAAGAAGACAGGGGGGTGTAACTGTCTCATTGCAGTGAGAAGTAGAAGGGAAGTAACTTGTTTTTGTAATTAGGAGAAGAGGGTAACGTTACAGAGGGAGGTAACTGGTCTTATTGTAATCAGGAGAAGACAATTACATTACAGAAGGAAGGTGACTGGTGTTATTGTAATCAGGAGCTGAGAATTTCTTGTTACTGATGTTGACCTGGATATCAAGGTATTGATGTCTGCCAGCATAATTCCCCTCATGGATATCAAGTGACGGATGTCAGCTGAATTATGTAGTTATTGTTTCAAGGATATCTGCCTGTATATCTATTTTTTTTCTTGTCTGCTGGGATATTAAGTTAAACATGTATATGTCAGCAAGATTATCTATTTATTGATGTCACCAAGTGTTTCATTATTTATGTTTTAGCTTTGCACTTTGCTTTATCATTCAATTTGGCTCATTTCAATGCTAGATTGTCCCTAACCATCATAAAAATCCTTGACATTGATCTCCTAGGCTGAACGTCTGACAGCTGATTTAAGACAACTTGAAAAAAGAGTGAAAGAGATGGAAAAAGATCATTTACAGAAGGTCCAGGTAAGACTTTAATAATAGGAGCATAGGAGAATTATTCACAGGTATTTATTAAAGTGAAATGTTCTGTGGCAGTCAGCCAGATTTAATCGCCTGTGTCCAGACAACTAAGTAGAGCACCTGATAGGAGATTCAGGGGGCCTTGATTCAAATCCTGGTCTGGTCCACTGCATTTTTCTCCTATCGCATTTTAGTTCCAATAATGCTCTCAAGCTTCTGTGAAATTGCAGGTTAGCCACTGTGATCATGAATTTCTGTTTTCTTTTCCATTGGTAGAGTCTTGGACATGACTCATTAAAGCAGTGGGACGTACTATTCCAACAATGTCAGTTTTACAGTCCATTATTTTTTAACAGGATATCCCCCTCACTAGGACAGAAGAATTCAGGTTAAAACAGAAGATACTACAGGAAGCTACCATAGTTTGTGGTACACTCTCAGCATTTGGACAGCATTTTATCTTTGATTTACTGAGTCATCGGAAACGTGAAGGAAAACCAATGTTTGACTGTGTTATTGTAGACGAAGTAAGAACTGATTAGATTTCTTAAACAGTAGTTGTTTAAAATATTCACTGATCTTTATTAATTTTAACTCATGATTTGTTAAATTTTAACTTATGATTTGTTGTTTAACGTCCCTCTCAAGAATTTTTCACTCATATGGAGACGACACCATTTGCTGGTGAAGAGCTGCAAATTTTTCCTATATCATCACTGAGGGCCATTGAGCAGTGAGGGATCTTTTTTGTGCCAGCATCTGCTGCAACATGGGACCTCTGTTTATATGGTCTTATCTGAAGGACCGGTCTCCATGTCCCACAGTGGGATTTGAACCCCCAACAAAATGATCAACTCATTACTTTGCAACTCTAAAGCAGACGCTCTAAACACTGGGCCACACGAGTGACTTTATCTTATGAAAAGAATTAGAAAACTAATGCTTGACTACTTACTATTAGCTTTGACTTGTTTTGGGTCACAAAAAGATTCTTATCACATATTCAAAGAAAGAAAATAGAATGAATCAGATGAGTAATAAAAGGCCTCTTGTTTCTAAATATAGGCTTCACAAGCTAATGAGCTGGACTGCATTATTCCACTGCAATACGAAGTCAACAAGTTTATTTTGGTTGGGGATCCAGAGCAGCTTCCTCCCACAGTCACATCCAGTGTGAGTACTGTTTTGTAATTTGTCATTTCATCAGATGTGAGTACTATTTCATAATTTGTAATTACATCAGGTTTGAATACTGTATTGTAATTTGTAATTACATCAGGTGTGAATACTTTTCTGTAATTTTTAATTGTTTTATTATTTTGTTGTAGAAAGCTGCTAGGAATTACTTTGGTCAGTCTCTGTTTGAAAGATTTTACCGCCATTTCCAGTCATGTAAAGAAAGCCCCAGTCCTATCTTGATGTTGGACACCCAATACCGCATGCATCCTGACATAGCTTATTGGCCGTCCCAGTATATATATCAAGGAAAACTCAAAACAGACAAGTATATCAAACACTTAATATCTGTCACGATCGGAGATGTAAAGATACCATGAAAACAATTCAATACTTTTGGGGGGAAAATGTTAACTTTTCTGATTATAATCTTTCTTTCTCTCTCTTTTTCTCTCTCTCTCTTTTTAACTATTTTCAATTAATTAACTAAAACAACACCTTATTGAATAAGGCTTATGTTTGGATTCAACTGTGTTTTTAAGAATCAGTTATGTTATTTTTATTCTGAACACAGATTTCTTTTTGTTTTTGGCAAAATGTTCTGTGTCACATCCTTTTCTTAATTTCATTAATTCATGACAGGGAAACTCACCTTGTAGTTCCAGAGCTGCCAACCCTTACGATTTTGGCGTAAGGCGTATGAAATCAGCATCTAAAATACGCCTTACGATTTCTCTATATATTCTTCCGATTTTATTTCTCGTTCAAAGATTATAATACCGGTATTTTCATAGCTGGCAGTCTATTGTTTCTACTATTATAATATATTCATAATTCTTATATCACTTGCTTGTACTATCGTTTCGGTTTTAGAAGGCCAATCACATTCATGTCAATGTTTTAAAGTAAACGAAATGGAAACATGCCTCAGATTGCGTGTCCATTTACAAAACATCTTTAACTGCAGGGGGCCTAGGTGGTCCCTAGACCACGCCTTACTATTTGTCATTTAAGAATGTTGGCAGCTCTGTAGTTCTGAGCAATGCAGTTGTTCAATGTACCTTGTCTGTATTTTTCTAGATCGTTGAAGCAGCGCTCTAAGGAAAATAGTAGATTGAAGCCATTTGTTCTATTTAATGTTGAGGACAGCCTTGAATACCTCTCTCAAACCACGGGGTAGGTTCACATTCCTCCTTTATTAAATCAGGTTCATGTATTATAGATGACTGTTTGAATTTTGTTTGCGATCAGGTCCATGTAATATAACCTACGGTTTGAGTTTTGTTTGTGATCAGGTCCATGTATTATACCCAACTATTTGTTCTTTTTTTTGTGATCTGACCCCGGGATCATGAAGCATCTTAAGCTTAAATCAAAATCTTCAAGTTGTACTTTAAGATTGTTGAAGTCAAATAGACCAAACCCAAACTGTTTTACAATGTTGTTTTACAAATGTGTTGACATTTGCAAAATTAGGCATTAATTCAATAAATAATGAATACTAGTATTTCACAGGAAATTGAAAATTTGACTTAAGTCTAAGTTTGTTTCATGATCCTGGGACCAGGTCTGTGTATTATAACCGACAGTTTGAGTTTTTTTTGTGATCAGGTCGGTGAACAATCCGACCGAGGTGGAGTTTATTGTCCAGTTGTCCCTGGTCATCCTTAAGTCTACCAGACCTCACAACATTGGGATCATCGCCCCTTATAAAAGTCAGAAGAACCTGCTGCTCTCCAGCCTAAGTCAGAAGTAAGTCAGTCATCTACACTCAGTATAAGATTCTGTAAAGGTATCACACCTGCTGCTCTTCAGCCTAAGTCAGAAGTAAGTCAGTCATCTACACTCAGTATAAGATTCTGTAAAGGTATCACGCCTGCGGCTCTCCAGCCTAAGTCAGAAGTAAGTCAGTCATCTACACTCAGTATAAGATTCTGTAAAGGTATCATGCCTGCTACTCTCCAGCCTAAGTCAGAAGTAAGTCAGTCATTCTACACTCAGTATAAGTATCTGTAAAGGTATCATTCCTGCTGCTCACCAGCTTACGTCATATGTAAGTCAGACATTCTACACTCAGTATAAGATTCTGTAAATGTATCATGCCTGCTGCTCTCCAGCCTAAGTCAGAAGTAAGTCAGACATTCTACACTCGGTATAAATTTCTGTAAAGGTATCATGCCTGCTGCTCACCAGCTAAAGTCATATGTAATCAGACATTCAACACTCGGTATAAGTTTCTGTAAAGGTATCACGCCTGCTGCTCTCCAGCCTAAGTCAGAGGTAAGTCAGACATTCTACACTCAGTATAAGATTCTGTAAAGGTATCACGTCTGCTGCTCACCAGCCTAAGTCAGAAGTAAGTCAGACATTCTACACTCAGTATAAGGTTCTGTAAAGGTATCATGCTTGCTGCTCTCCAGCCTAAGTCAGAAGTAAGTCAGACATTCTACACTCAGTATAAGATCCTGTAAAGGTATCATGCCTGCTGCTCACCAGCCTAAGTCAGAAGTAAGTCAGACATTCTACACTCAGTATAAAATTCTGTTAAGGTATGATGCTTGCTTCTCTCAGCCTAAGTCAGAAGTAAGTCAGACATTCTACACTCAGTATAAGATTCTGTAAAGATATCACACCTGCTGCTCTCCAGCCTAAGTCAGAAGTAAGTCAGACATTCTACAATCGGTTTAAGTTCCTATAAAGGTATCATGCTTGCTGCTCTCCAGCCTAAGTCAGAAGTAAGTCAATCATTCTACACTCAGTATAAGGTTCTGTAAAGGTATCATGCTTGCTGCTCTCCAGCCTAAGTCAGAAGTAAGTCAGACATTCTACACTCAGTATAAGTTTCTGTAAAGGTATCATTCCTGCTGCTCTCCAGCCTAAGTCAGAAGTAAGTCAGATATTCTACACTCAGTATAAGATCCTGTAAAGGTATCATGCATGCTACTCTCCAGCCTAAGTCAGAAGTAAGTCAGACATTCTACACTCAGTATAAGATTCTGTAAAGTAAAGGTATCACATGTACCCTCTCTGTTACAGGGGAGTAAAAGGCATAGAGATCAGCACTGTAGACGGGTTCCAGGGAAGAGAAAAAGAGGTCATCATATTCTCTTGTGTCCGAGCCAAGAGCCAGTCTGGATCTATAGGGTAGACAATTTGTGTCAAGAGTCAGATTTTACAAGTGGTTATGTTTTCTTATTAAGAAGAAATTTAGAGTAACTACACATTTTTAGAGGAATTATTGAGGCTGATTGCATTGCAATAATTGTTGAGGCTGCATAGATTAAAAATTTCCCCAAAGTTCACTCTATTCTGGTTCGCACCACACATATATATCAAAGGAAGGGATACAATGACCCAATCAATAAATAATTCCTGCAGAATTAAGTTCAGTAAAGATTATATTCCACATTCACATTTCAAAAAGAAATTCCATGAAATAATAATTAGGTTCCCTTTCAAAGAATATGAAAGGAATTGAAATTCTCTGAATATTTGCTTAAGATAAAATTAATATAGAAAATATCCAGAGGTATTATTAAGGATTGTATATTTTATAGTTTTATGGCAGACAGAAAGAGGATGAATGTGGCTCTAACTCGTGCCAAGTCAGCACTGTACATTGTAGCTCATCTGGATTCATTACAAGTAAGTAAAATTTTAATGTTTGTTTGCTGTTTTAGACTGATATAGGTTGGACTACTGTTTATTTTCCTCATATTTCATTTAATAGAACTGTATAGACTAATGCTGATCAGACATTAGACATTGCTTCTGATGTTTGTCTGATATTATAGATGTTGATTGAATGTCAGACATTGCATCTGATGTTTGTCTGATATTACAGATGTTGATTGAATGTCAGACATTGTAGTTAATGTTCGTTTGATATTATAGAAATTGATTTGAAGTCAGACATTGCTTCTGATCGTTGTCTGATATTATAGACGTTGATGGACGTCAGACATTGCTTCTGATGTTAATCTGATATTATAGATGTTGATTGGATATCAGACATTGCTTTTTATTAGGGCCCCGCAAGGATTTGCGGGTGCCCTATAGTAATCACTCTGTCTGTCTGTCTGTCCGTCTGTCATTCTTCTGTCCACAAATTTTCTGTTTTTTCCTAATAACTTTTTTTATGGTCGCCCAATTAAGATCAAATTTTGTATGGTAGTTCAATAGGCAGAAAGACATATTTTGATGCTAAGTTTGTTTCTCTGTGTCCCCTGGTTTGGAGCTGGGGTGGTAGGGTAGATTCCTTAACTTTATTAGGTCACCTGAGTAAACTCAGGTGACCTATTGCTATCCGTTTTCGTCCGTCGTCGTGCATTGTGCGTTAATATTTGAACATTTTCAGCTTCTTCTCTGCAACCACTGAACCAATTTCAACCAAATTTGGTCTTAAGCATCTATGGCTGAAGGGGAACAAAAATTTTGAATTTCATGATCCCTGCCCCCCTGGGGCCTGAGGGGTGGGGCCAAAACCACTAAAATTAATGCAATCTTTAAAAATCTTCTTCTTAACTCCTGGACATCAAGCGGTCAAACTGTTTGCATGATTGTAATCAGCAATGAGTCCTCTACCAAAATTGTGAAATTCATGGCCCTGGGGTCAGGGGTTCTAGTGCTAGGGCGGGGCTAAATAAGTAGGTAGTGAAAATGCATTATTTCTTTGAAAATCTTCTTCTCTGCTCCTGGGTATTAAATAAACCAACTAAGCACATAGTTATGATGAGCAAGAGTGCCACTACCAAAATTGTGAATTTTATGGCCCCAGGGTCAGGGTTCTGGTGTTAGGGTGGGGCTCTATTGATTATATAGTGAAAATACATGAATTCTTTGAAAATCTTCTTCTCTGCTCCTGGGTATTAAATAAACCAACTAAGCACATAGTTATGATGGGCAAGAGTGCCACTACCAAAATTGTGAATTTTATGGCCCCAGGGTCAGGGGTTCTGGTGTTAGGGTGGGGCTCTATTGATTATATAGTGAAAATACATGAATTCTTTGAAAATCTTCTTCTCTGCTCCTGGGTATTAAATAAACTAACTAAGTACATAGTTATGATGAGCAAGAGTGCCTCTACCAAAATTGTGAATTTTATGGCCCCAGGGTCAGGGGTTCTGGTGTTAGGGTGGGGCTCTATTGATTACATAGTGAAAATACATGAATTCTTTGAAAATCTTCTTCTCTGCTCCTGGGTATTAAATAAACCAACTAAGTACATAGTTATGATGAGCAAGAGTGCCTCTACCAAAATTGTGAATTTTATGGCCCCAGGGTCAGGGGTTCTAGTGTTAGGGCGGGGCTCTATTGATTATATAGTGAAAATACATGAATTCTCTGAAAATCTTCTTCTCTGCTCCTGGGTATTAAATAAACTAACTAAGTGCATAGTTATGATGAACAAGAGTGCCTCTACCAAAATTGTGAATTTGTTTGGCCCCAGGGTCAGGTGTTCTGGTGTTAGGGCGGGGCTCTATTGATTATATAGTGAAAATACATGAATTCTTTGAAAATCTTCTTCTCTGCTCCTGGGTATTAAATAAACTAACTAAGTGCATAGTTATGATGAGCAAGAGTGCCTCTACCAAAATTGTGAATTTTATGGCCCCAGGGTCAGGGGTTCTGGTGTTAGGGTGGGGCTCTATTGATTATATAGTGAAAATACATTAAATCTTTGAAAATTTTCTTCTCTGCTCCAGGGTATTAAGCAGATGAACTACCAATATAGTTATGCTGGACAAGGGCCCAAATCTTCCAGAATTGTGAATTTCAAGGCCCCAGGGTCAGGGTACCATAGAAGGGGGGGGGGGTTGTACTTATATACTGAAAATGAATGAATGGTTTGAAATCTGCTCCTTGGTATTAATCAAATATCAAGGCCTAAGGGTCAGGAGTTCATGTGTGGTAGGGGCACTATTGATTATTGCTGAATATTACTGATTAGTTGAAATGCATTTTTAGCTCACCTGAGCCGAAGGCTCAAGTGAGCTTTTCTGATCACATTTTGTCCGTCGTCCGTCCGTCTGTCTGTCCGTCCGTCTGTCTAGCTGTCCGTCTGTAAACTTTTCACATTTTCGACTTCTTCTCAAGAACCACTGGGCCAATTTTGACCAAACTTGGTACAAAGCAGACTTGGGTGAAGGGGAATTTAAATTGTTAAAATGAAGGGACATATCCCCTCGCAAGGGGAGATAATCAAGAAAAGACAAAAATAGGGTTGGGTCATTAAAAAATCTTCTTCTCAAGAACCACTGGGCCAGTAAAGCTGAAACTTATGTGGAAGCATCCTGGGGTAGTGTAGATTCTAAAATATTCAAATAATGACCCCCGGGGGAAGGGCGGGGCCACAATGGGGAATCAAAGTTTTATATAGAAATATATAGGAAAAATCTTTGAAAATCTTCTTCTCAAGAACCACTGGGCCAGAAAAGCTAAAACTTATGTGGAAGCATCCTGGTATAATGTAAATTCTAAATTGTTCAAATAATGACCCCCGGAGGAAGGGCGGGGCCACAATGAGGAATCAAAGTTTTATATAGAAATATATAGGAAAAATCTTTGAAAATCTTCTTCTCAAGAACCACTGGGCCAGAAAAGCTGAAACTTACGTGGAAGCATCCTGGTATAATGTAGATTCTAAATTGTTCAAATAAAGACCCCCGGGGGAAGGGCGGGGCCACAATGGGGAATCAAAGTTTTATATAGAAATATATAGGAAAAATCTTTGAAAATCTTCTTCTCAAGAACCACTGGGCCAGAAAGAGTGAAACTTATGTGGAAGCATCCTGGTGTAGTGTAGATTCTAAATTGTTCAAATCATGACCCTCAGGGGAAGGGCGGGGCCACAATGGGGTATCAAAGTTTTACATAGAAATATATAGGAAAAATCTTTGAAAATCTTCTTCTCAAGAACCACTGGGCCAGAAAAGCTGAAACTTATGTGGAAGCATCCTGGTATAATGTAGATTCTAAATTGTTCAAATAATGACCCCCGGGGGAAGGGCGGGGCCACAATGGGGAATCAAAGTTTTACATAGAAATATATAGGAAAAATCTTTGAAAATCTTCTTCTCAAGAACCACTGGGCCAGAAAGAGTGAAACTTATGTGGAAGCATTCTGGGGTAGTGTAAATTCTAAATTGTAGGAATCATGACCCCCGGGGGAAGGGCGGGGCCATTATAGGGAATCAAAGTTTTACATAGAAATATATAGGAAAAATCTTTGAAAATCTTCTTCTCGGGAACCACTGGGCCAAAAAAGCTGAATCATATGTGCCCATGGAAGGATCATGGGGTAGTGTAGATTTCAAAATGTCTAAATTATGATCAGTGGGGTAGGGTGGGTATGCATTATGTATAACAAGGGGGGAAATCTGGTAAAGAACAGAATGGTCAAAGCTTCTCAGGTGAGCGATGTAGCCCATGGGCCTCTTGTTTGTTCCCTTACCCTGCATATGGGTATTAAGTAAACAAACTAATTAACTGCTAAGTGTATTGATATGATGATCAATGGTGCCTCTTTCAAAATTGTGAATGCCATAGCATCTGGCTTAAAACATGAATCAAATTCAATCACTGGAAAGTTGTTGCATAATACTCAGGTGACCTATAAGGCCCATGGGCCTCTTGTATAAGAATGCATTGGCAAAGAGAGATAACTGCTGAAGATGTTGCCATTGTAAACTGAATGCTGAATCCCTTGGGATTAATTAGCTTTCCTCCTGAAGAAAATCCAAAGCATTATCTTTATCTGCATTGAGACGAATTACCACCTCTGTCTGCAAATGAAGTTTGTTTTAAAGTTAAGTCAATTTTGAATGCTATGAGCACTCTGAAATGTGGATTTAAATATAAATATTTATACTTTATTTTTTCATTGAATTTTAAAAATATGAAATATATTAAAGAGGATATATTTTTTAATTTTTACCTTTTTTCCCTTTATGTAAATTCAAGAATATTTTTAATTTTTAAGGTAGTTGTACAAAAACCCCATTCAAATAATACTGAAAAAGTTCTAAAGTTGTAAATTTAGAAGCTAGATATTGATGAGAGAGAAGTAAATTTATCCCTTGGGATTAATTATTTAAGCCTGCTGCAGAAAATTTAGTAGGCTTGTCTTTATCTGTCACTTTAAGATTAATGAAAACCTTTGTCTGCATCTGATGTTTGTTTTGAAGTTAAGGTCAAGCCTTCATGATATTTGCATTCATTACAAATGAAGGCTGTTAGTTGTTCTTTTTTGCCTAATTAAAGTAATAGATAAACCATACAATTTTGACTGTTTTCAAGGATATTATTTACAGGTTTCTGAATATTCAGGAATTATCTTGAAATTTTAAGAATACAGTTGCTGTTGCTTATTCTTTGTACATTTTTTAATCATTCTGCAAGCTGCACACTTATAATTCTACCCCATGGCGGGGCCCTTGCTGACTGGTCAGTTTTCTAGTGTTTGTCTGATATTATAGACGTTGATTGGACATCAGACATTGTATCTGATATTTGTCTAATATTATACCTGTTATACATGTTGATTGGACATTAGACATTGTAGTTAATGTTTGTCTGATATTATAGACGTTGATGGACGTCAGACATTCATTTTTGTTTGTCTGATATTATAGACATTGTATCTAATGTTTGTCTGATATAAAAGACCTTGATTGGATGTCAGACATTGCTTCTGATGTTTGTCTGATAATAAAGACGTTGATGAACGTCAGTCATTGCTTCTGATGTTTATCTGATATTATAGACATTGATGGATGTCAGACATTGCTTCTGATCTTTATCTGGTATTATAGAAATGTTGATTGGACATTAGACATTGTAGTTAATGTTTATCTGATATTATAGACGTTGATGGATGTCAGACATTGTTTCTGATGTTTGTCTGTTGTTATAGACATTGATGGATGCCAGACATTGCTTCTGTTGTTTGTCTGATATTATAGACGTTGATTGGACATAAGACATTGACACAGTAGTTAATGTTTATCTGATATTATAGACGATGATGGACGTCAGACATTGCTATTGATGTTTATCTGATATTATAGATGTTGATTGGACATTGGGCATTGCATTGATGTTTGCTGATATTAAAGACATCTTGATTGGACGTTAGACATTGCTTCTGATGTTTGTCTGATATTATAGACGTTGATTGGATGTCAGACATTGCATCTGATGTTTGTCTGATATTATAGATGTTGATTGGATGTCAGACATTGCTTCTGATGTTTGTCTGATATTATAGACATGTTGATTGGACATTAGACATTGTATTTTTGATGTTGTCTGATATTATAGACATTTTGATTGGATGTCAGACATTGCTTCTGATGTTTGTCTGATATTATAGACATTGATGAACGTCGGATATTGCTTTTGATGTTTGTCTGATATTATAGATGTTGATTGGACATCAGACATTGCTTCTGATGTTTGTCTGATATTATAGATGTTGATTGGACGTCAGACATTGCTTCTGATGTTTGTCTGATATTATAGACGTTGATTGGATGTCAGACATTGCATCTGATGTTTGTCTGATATTATAGACGTTGATTGGATGTCAGACATTGCTTCTGATGTTTGTCTGATATTATAGACGTTGATTGAATGTCAGACATTCATTTTTGTTTGTCTGATATTATAGACATGTTGATTGGAAATTAGACATTGTAGTTAATGTTTATCTGATATTATAGACATTGATGGACGCCAGAAATTGCTTCTGATGTTTGTCTGATATTATAGACATGTTGATTGGACATTAGACATTGTATCTAATGTTTGTCTGATATAAAAGACCTTGATTGGATGTCAGACATTGCTTCTGATGTTTGTCTGATATTATAGATGTTGGTTGGACATTAGACATTGCTTCTGATGTTTATCTGATATAATAGACATTGATGGACGTCAGACATTGCTTTTGATGTTTGTCTGATATTATAGATGTTGATTGGACATCAGACATTTATTTTTGTTTGTCTGATATTATAGACGTTGATTGGATGTCAGACATTGCTTCTGATGTTTGTCTGATATTATAGATGTTGATTGGACGTCAGACATTGCTTCTGATGTTTGTCTGATATTATAGATGTTGATTGGACTTCAGACATTGTTTCTGATGTTTGTCTGATATTATAGATGTTTATTTGACGTCAAACATTGCATCTGATGTTTGTCTGATAGTATAGACATGTTGATTGGACGTCAGACATTGTTTCTGATGTTTGTCTGATATTATAGACATTGATTGGACGTCAGACATTATTTCTGATGTTTGTCTGATATTATAGACATGCTGATTGCATTTTAAACACTACATTTCATATTTGTTCAATATTGCAGACAGATGCAGATTGGAAGAATCTAATCCGAGATGCAGGAAGAAGAAGTTTAATATATTCTGTGGCCAGTGGTCAAGACTTCAATGAAGCTGCTAAGAATATTTTAATTCAGAAATAAAGAGGATGTAATTGATTGGCTTTTGATTTAGGAAAGCCATGATAGTTGGATAATTAACATGCAGACAAAGCTTGGTGTCACTAAGGATAAAGAAATCAAGATCTAGCTTTAGATGCAAACTTAATTTAGTGGAATTTAGAGCTACCTTAAAAAAGTAGTGGACTTTAGTGTAACCTTAAACAAGTAGTGGACTTAAGTGCTACCTTAAACAAGTAGTGGACTTTGATGCCACCTTAAATGAGTAGTGGACTTCAGAGCTACCTTAAACAAGTAGTGGACTTAAGTGATACCTTAAACGAGTAGTGGACTTTGATGCCACCTTAAATGAGAAGTGAACTTTGATGCCACCTTAAATGAGAAGTGGACTTTAGTGCTACCTTAAACAAGTAGTAGGCTTAAGTGCTACCTTAAACAAGTAGTGGACTTAAGTGTGCTACCTTATACAAGTAGTGGACTGATGAGAAGTAGACTTGAAGCTACCTTAAATGAGAATTGGAATTTAGTGCTACCTTAAACGAGTAATGGACTTTGATGCCACCTTGAATAAGAAGTGGACTTTGATGCCACCTTAAACAAGTAGTGGACTTTGATGCCACCTTAAACAAGTAGTGGACTTTGATGCCACCTTAAATGAGAAGTGGACTTTGGTGCTACCTGAAATGACAAGTGGACTTCCTAACTTAAATAAGAAGTAGACTTCCTACCTTAAATAAGAAGTAGACTAAAGTGCTACTTTAACTGAGAAATGGACTTTAGTGCTGCATTAAATGAGTAGTGGACTTTAATGCTATCTTATATAAGAATTGGACTTTGATGTTTCTTAAATGAAAAGTCAACCTTAATGTTGCCTTAAGTGAGAAGTGGACTTAAATGTTGCCTTAGATGAGGAGTGGACTTTGGCATTGTCTTAAATGAGGAGTGGACTTGGGCATTGTCTTAAATGAGGAGTGGACTTTGATACTCCCACATGGAGGACATATCTTTGTGGTTGTCCTATGAGGCGTGTAACATCAGCATGTACTGGAATATTTTCTGTGAATACAAATTAATCAGGATATCCATAAACTTCAACTGCTGCATTTATTTTATATGTGGTCTTCAAACTTTACAGATTGCTATAAACTAGTTCTAAAATATGGTATTTTAATATCCATTTATATAATTTTTTGTATCAATACATGTCATTAACTTTTTTGTGTATTTACTAATGTCTAATCATAGTTGAAAATACTTGTTTGTGCCCAAGTTTAAATGTTGTAGTTTTTTTTTAATTTAAGATAGTTTAAGCAAACAAAAAATTAGCTTCCAGATAGTGTTTATATATCTCACTGTATGTGTTCATATTGAATTAATATGTTTAAACAAACAAAAAATTAGCTTCCGGATAGTGTATATATATCTCTCACTGTATGTGTTCATATTGAATTACTTAATATGTTTAGTGGGCATTAAATGAGTTGTAGTTTTTTACTTAATTATTTAAAGGCTGTGCCAAAATCCAATAAGTTGTACAGAAAATAGCATTTAATTTATACATGTTAACTGTATGTACATATACATGTGGAGACATAAGTTGGTTGTCAGTTAAACTTGTTGAGCAGTTATTGTTACAAAGAAATTCTGATTCTTTAGTTCCTGCTGTATGTTTATATGCGTGTGTGTTTTAAAACTATCAATCAGATTCCAGATTGACTGCATAAAATTTACAGATGATAAATGTTAATGTCCTGGTGTTAATGAGAATCAACTTGTGATATTAGAATGAAGGAGATAATAAAAGATATAAGAACTGTGGACTTATAATCTATCAGCAGATATAACAGGGGTTTCAATGAGATCACTGAATTTTCATGGCAACCTCCCTTACAATATTTGTTGCATATTTCTTTACATTTATTACACTGAAGATCACCCGAGTCACTCAGGTGACATATTGCCATCTCTTTTCATCTGATGTACATTATGCCTCATGCATTAACAACTGGATATTTTCAGCATCTTCTGTGGAACCATTGAACCATTTGCAACAAATTTTGGCAGATAACATCTGTGAGTAAATCGGGGGAGCAGAAATTGTGAGTTTCATGCCCCCCCTTGGCCTAGGGGTAGTGCTAAAACCATCAAAATTAGCACTATTTAAAAAAAACCTTCACTCCTGAACATCACACAATCAAAATGTTAGCATGATTGTAGTAAGCGAAGAGCACTCTAACAATATTGTGAAATCTATAGCCCCAGCATCAGGGATTCTGGAGTTAAGGTGGGGCTCTAATTATCACAGTGAAAGTGCCTGTTGATATCCAAGAAATCGTCTCCTTTCCCCTATACTACGTGCATGCTTATGATGCACTTTCCTGTTATGGCTCCACCCTACCCTTGTGATTTGAACAAAAAATCTGCACTACCTCCATTGTCTCAAGCAGTTTTGGTGTCCGTATATAGCTCTCTCCTACACTGGCTGCTTGATCACATAATTTTATAATCTTGAGAATACTTACACCCCTTTTCTGTGACATTACTTTTTTTGTATGTTCAGCCAATGGCAATTTTGTTTCCAGTGGAACCACGAATCTAGACGACTGATCTTTTTTTTTTCATATCATACACTTTGTTTATAATGTTTTTTTATGTATTCTCGGATTATGCATATATATAAGTAACAAATATGTAGAATACATATCTTATACAATTATATAAAAAAATTTTATTCAACAAAAATTCACTACATTAAAGTATTGGTGTGTCTTCATGTTTGTACTCATCAGTGGGCATTACTGCAGTTCTAGTACATGTCCCAATATGCAGAATTAAGGAAAAATTCGGAAGTTAATTTCTGGAACAAAATTGTTTTTCTGACACTTTTTTCCAGTCTGCTTCATCATACAATGCGTTATACATTCAACTGTTACAATGTCATATGTAAACAATGTCACATGTAAACAGGACCTTTTTTATAGCAAAAAACAAGAAAAGAAACAATACAGCAAAAAATGTATAAACAAACTGCAATCTTTTTGTGTATTGGGTATCTTATAAGTTATGTGTTAACTATATACACCAAAAAACTTTTCACATTTCAATGTTAGCAAACTATATCAAAGTTGAAAAAAAAATGTACAAAATTGTCAATTCATACTAACATACAGAGAGAAATACTCAGAATATGGGTTTACCTTTACAAAATATCATTGAAAAATAAATTACCAAATTTTTCTTACTTCCAATGAAAAAAATTCTATCTTGAGTGTCAGAGCAATTCATTCACAGAATAAACAACCTGTCTATAACTGTCAGCTGGAGCACATCATGAGGCTGAAACACAACATATAACAAACCCTCTCATCCTTCCTCGTCAATCATCTCACTCTCTCACACACACTTATAACCCGTGTTTTCCCTAAATAAGTCCTTTCATTTTCTTGTACTCGGCGAGATTGAGGGAGCGTTTGGGTGCTGCCTCTTTTACTGGTTGTAGGCTTCTACTGTTGGCTGCCACTGCTGGGTCTGAAATAAAAACACAACTTCAGTAACTGACTCCCAGAAGTTGACAAAGGCTGATTACTTAAACTCTTCCTTACTTTAGTATAGTTTATTTTATACTACATGTAACAATCTAATAAAGGATACAAATTTGAACAGAGCTGAGTTTGGCATTATCGTTCAAGTCATTTAATGTCATTTGTAGGTGTGATGTGGCTTTTAAAGCATGCATCAAACTGCATCCATATATATTTACTTGTTTGAACACTACTTGTGTTGAGTATGAATGTACATGTATCTAAAGGCTGGCCATGAGACTTCAGAAATTTGCATCAAGTTGTAAATATCAAGAAATTAAAACACATCTCTCAATTTCTCAAAGAGTTATCACAAAGAAAACAGATGGAATGGTAAATATTGGGATATAATCATCAATCACTTTAAGCAGTCCCTCAAATTTATTTGTGGCAACACAGCAGGACCAGGATTTCCTGATGGACAATCCTACCCCACATATTGGTCCTTAGACTTACTGGTAGCAGGGACGTCTAGATCAATTTCTATGTTAAAATCATGGACGGCAAACAAGTCTTCCGACGACTTTCGCCGATCTGGTTTTTCTAGCCCTGTTCCAGATAAATGGATGTGGAACTGGTTTTGATCACTGGTCTCTCTCTCTCTGTTTGCAATCTCCTCCTGTATCAACACAACAGGTCATTAGAAATCTATTCTAACTAGTACCATTGACAAGGAAGTCAGGATAAATGTTACTGTTTAAAGTCTAATTTTGAGTTTCAAACAAAAAATAAATCTGACTAAATATCATTGTAATTTAATATGTTGATAGTGCGACTGTTCAATGAGTGCTGATACTCCGTCTTCTCAAACCTTGTGTGATATTTGGTACTCTAGATTTTGACATTACAGAACGTCGTATGAAAGCTGCATTACCAGACCGAAGCCAGGCCCCAGGATCATGGAACATCTTAAACTTAAGTCAAAATCTTCATTTCATACTTAAATGTTGTGGAAGTCAACCAGATCAAAATTACAATTTGTTTCAATATTGATGAACAAAAGTGTTCATTTTACAGGTGATTGAAAATTTGACTTCAGTCTAAGTTTGTTTCATGATCCTGGGGCCTGAACAGTGCTAATTTTCATAAAGAACATTTAATCTACCGTTGATCTCTAATTTCTTAAATGAACAGCAAGTTTTTTCTCAAGTCTGCTTGCTGGGATGGTGGAGGGGTCTAATTAAGAGTATGGTACTAGAGATGAAGACGTTACCAGAGATTTTCTACGGGAGGCTTCCTCCAGTTTTCTTCTTTCTGCCATCCTCTCCTGTACTTTAGCCTCCACTTCTGGATCACGGGCCTGTGTAAAAATGTTAAATCATTGATATAGGAAGTTCCCTGACACTCAAACGAATACACAAATTATCATGGTGGTTTGACAATCATAATTTGGTTGACATCCAAATAAAATGAGATTGCATTTCTTTTAAAAATAATGAAACTATTTCTAATGAAAAAAAGCATGCAAAACAGAAAAAAATCAACAAGAATTTTAAAAATGAATCCATGCAGCTTCATACAGTATTTTTCTTTATCATGAAATTTATCTGAACTATGAACCAATACCTTGTTTCAAACAAAATAAACTTTAGATCTTGTAAATAGCAAAATTTAACAAAACATAAACTTCCTCATTACATACACATGCTATAGTATGCAGGATTTTCTGCAGTGAAAAAGAAAGGAAAATTTATCCCCCAAAAATAAAAAACAATTCATGTTCATAAGTGACCAAATACAAATACCATTTCAATATTTCAAAGAAACATTTATCTTCAGCAAGAAGTTCCTGTATTTCAGATAAAATTTTCACACGTTCTCCACATGAAATGTAAAGACTAGTGCTATTATTCTGTACTGTAATTCTGCTTTGCCTCTCTGAGTGAGTTTATTGATTAACCCTGCTACACTTACCTTTGTGACGAGGGTGGGACGACAGGAGCGTCGAGTAAACGGATCAGCCACAGCATTCTTCATCTCTAAGAACTCCTTCTTTGAAGCCTCCTCTGCCAGGATTTGGTTTCTCAAACGATTCCTTTGGTTGATATAACTAAGAACAACCATAAAATTGGTGTGGGTTATATACTTAATTTGGTATTAAAATCAATAGAAGTAATACAATTTTACAAACGTTGAAAGATCTAGAAAAAGGCTGAGATGAGTTGACCACAGAGGTCAAACTGCACTATCCTCCTGACATTTGCAATTCTGTGCTACAAACACTAGTAGAAACACTGCAACATGATATTCTAGGTTTTAAGTCAAACCCATCTATGTAATACTTTAACAGCAACAAATCATCAAATTCTTAATAAAGGAAACCTCTGACATAACTTGTGTCATAATGAAGTCTAGCATCCACAGTGACTGATATTGTCGAGATAAATCTAACATATAAATATGATATCCAGGTCTACTTACAGAACACATCGGACTTTCAAGCACTGGACACATCTCAGTGATATAGAATTAATACCTAACAGATGATTACAGGTCTGTGTGAAACAATTTCAATATTAACCCCTGCCTTACCTAATGGATGATATGTTGTTAGTTCTCCTTCTATCCAGTTCATTAGCCCTCTCCTCCAATTCCTCTAGTTCCTGTGAGATTTTATACTGAGCTGCCGTGTCCCCCTCTAGATCAGCTGCTTCCTGCCAAAACAAAGACGTGTGGTATTGTCACTAGCTCAGATAACAGTGCTCTTGTTTATTTCTACACTCAGAAGATATTGTTGTACACTCAAATGACACTGTCTGAAACTTAATTCTCATCTCAGATTAAATAATCTTGACAACACTTAATTTTACACTGAGGTAGCAATGTCTTACATTTTCTCATCTGAACATTTATTTCCTTAGTTTGAGATTTGTTGTATTTTATAACAGACACTCTCTAACACTTCAAAACTATCAAAACATATAATCCAGTGGCCCTACCTTTTGTTTGAGTAAGAGGGTTTTCTTAATGGCATAATTATGAGGATTCTTTTTAAATTTCTGCTTCTCAGCTACAATCTGAAAAAATCAGGAAAATCTTCAGTAATAAATTAATGTCCTTTCTTAAAACAGACATTTTCTCTGATCATGTTTCAAAAAATTTGCATTCTTCACATTTAATGAAATTTCACATACATGTATATAACAGAAAAATACTATTTGACTTTTTCTTTACCTCTTCGATATCGTTCTCTTTGAACTTGTAATTGAGTGCCTCCTGTATACTTTTGGCCTTCTTATCTATGTCCTGTAGAGTCGGTAAAGGTATGTCTCCCAGAGTCATGGCTTCCTGCCATTTGAAGAACTCAGAATCTGTGAAATCTTGGTTAGATACGAATTCCAGCCGATAAACACGTTCCGAATGTCCATGCCTGAAATTAATTCCATGTAAGCACTCATTATCCTGATAAAATTTATTTTGGTGGTTTTCACCAAAAAAATCTTTAAGGACATTTATTTACCGCAATTTGAGACCCTTATTTGTTCGTGTTGTACCAAGCTGATATATTTTTGCAGTTTCCATGGTGTCAACAATTTCAGCGATCTAGCAAAAAAAGGTTTCTTATTTAAAAAATAGTTGCATATTCTGTGTGCATAAATCATATTTTATGAATTACACTTGGTGAATATTTATTATATATTAAGGATTCTTCCATTCCATCAGGGATGACTTACTCTGTACACCGCCCGACCCTCGTGGTTACCAATACCAATTCTCACATAGCAGCCACACACAGTCTTCTTAAAGAATGGCATGTGACACCATCTAAACAACAGGAAAGAAAATAATGTAAGTTTAAGCGGTTATTTTTGTTACTTGATTTATAAGTGTATAGCCCTTCAAAAACATGAAAACTAGTATGACCTAAATTACTACAGCTACATGTTCATTGTGCTAAATAGTAAATGATTAATTTTAAAGTTTTCCTGCAAAAGTAATCAAATTATAAAAACACAAGACCCATGGGCCACATTTCTCCATAATACATTCCTACATAAAACTTTGATCACATATTGTTGCCCATCCTACCCATCCTAGCCCAAGGGGTCATGAATTGAACAAAACTAAATATACACTACCTGAAGTAGCTACAGTGTAGCATATAAATATGATTTATATGAACATAATTTATTGCTGTTCTTGAGGAGTAGATTTTTTTATATAGATTTTTTCTGTATATTCCTATTTAGATCTTTGGTTACCCATTGTGCCTCCACAGTATGTGTATACCTATGTAAAACTTTGATCTCCTACAATTGCTCTTCCCTAGCCCTGAGAGTTCCTCATTTTTTTTTTAAAGATGCCATTAGTTTTTCAATAATTCTTCATTACTTTCCCTAGAAAGAGGCCTTTTGTTTGAAGAAATGTCTACAGATGACAAATGAAGAAACAAGAAGGCCGTTGTCAGACACCCTTTGATCATAAAAGCTCACTCGAGTCTTAAGCTCAGGTGAGCCACCAAAACAATTGACTTTAAACATATTCTAAAACAATCACAATAAATGTTTACTCAAACTTAATGCATATTTATTTCTTTTTTAGGCAAATTTTAAGCACTTTTAGAACAGAAGTTCTGCTTCCTTTACTTACTTTTCCAGCTTGTGTCGTGACAGACGGATCTTGGATAGATCTTCTTTACATGACACAAATTTTGGTTTCCTTGATTCATAAGACCTACAGTGTATAATGAGATTTGTTTCAACATTTAAAACTATTTCATGTTATATTATTTATGGCAATGAATGCCATATTTTAAGTTAACAAGAGGCCCATGGGCCTTATAGGTCACCTGAGCATTATGCAACAACTTTCCAGTGATTGAATTTGATTCATGTTTTAATCCAGATGCTATGGCATTCACAATTTTGAAATAGGCACCATTGATCATCATAACAATACACTTAGCAGTTGCTTAGTTTGTTTACTTAATACCCATAGGCAGGGTAGGGGAACAAAAACTGCATTTCAAGTAATCAGTAATATTCAGCATGATCAGTAATGCCCCAATCACACATGAACCCCTGACCCTTAGGCCTAGATCCACACATTGCACAATTTTTGAAAAGGCACCCTTGCTTTTCAAAAATATTTGATAAATAGGAGCAGATTTCAAACAATTCATCCAGTTTCAGTATATAAGTACAGCCCCCCCCCTCCTTTATGGTACCCTTGACCCTTGGGCCTTGAAATTCACAATTCTGGAAGATTAGGACCCTTACTCATCATAACTACATAGGTAGTTCATCTGCTTAATACCAAGGAGCAGAGAAGAAAACTTTCAAAGATTTAGTGTATTTTCATTGTATAATTAATAAAGCCCCACCCTATCACTAGAATCCCTGACCCTGGGGCCATAAAATTCACAATTTTGGAAGAGGCACTCTTTTGCTCATCATAACTATGCACTTATTTAGTTTATTTAATACCCAGACACAGAGAAGAATATTTTCAAAGAATTATTTTTTCACTATATAATCTAAAGAGCCCCCCCCCCCCTACACCAGAACCCCTGACCCTGGGGCCATCGAATTCACAATTTTGGTAGAAGCACTTTTGCTCATCATAACAAAGCACTTAGTTAGTTAATTCAATACCCAGGAGCAGAGAAGAAGATTTTCAAAGAATTCAAGTATTTTCACTATATAATCTATAGTCCCCCCCCCCCCTTACACCAGAACCCCTGACCCTGGGGCCATGAAATTAACAATTTTGGTAGAGGCACTCTTGCTCATCATAACTATGCACTTATTTAGTTTATTTAATACCCAGGAGCAGAGAAGATTTTCAAAGAATTCATGTATTTTCACTATATAATCTATAGAGCCCCCCCCCCTTACACCAGAACCCCTGACCCTGGGGCCATAAAATTCACAATTTTGGTAGAGGCACTCTTGCTCATCATAACTATGCACTTAGTTAGTTTACTTGATACCCAGGAGCAGAGAAGAAGATTTTCAAAGAATTTATGTATTTTCACTATATAATCTATAAGCCCCACCCTAACACCAAACCCCTGACCCTGGGGCCATAAAATTCACAATTTTGGTAGAGGCACTCTTGCTCATCATAACTATGCACTTAGTTAGTTTATTTAATACCCAGGAGCAGAGAAGAAGATTTTCAAAGAATTCATGAAATTTCACTATATACTTATTTAGCCCCACCCTAACACCAGAACCCCTGACCCCGGGGCCATGAATTTCACAATTTTGGTAGAGGACTCAATGCTGATTACAATCATGCAAACAGTTTGACTGCTTGATGTCCAAGTAAAGAAGAAGATTTTTAAAGATTGCACTAATTTTAGTGGTTTTTGCCCCACCCCCCAGGCCCCAGGGGGGCAGGGCCCATGAAATTCACAATTTTTGTTCCCCTTCACCCATAGATGCTATATGCCAAAGAACTATATGCGGTATTAACCAACATTTGCCCCCCAAAATCAAACTTTGATGGAGTAACATTTAATTAAGTCCTTAAACAGGGGAGTATATGCTGACTTCAAAGCACTGAATAATTTCATAAGTAATGACGTCATATGTACGTAATGACGTCACAAATATGACGTAATTTCAGTTTTTTATGAATTTTGCAGAAAAATGTACAAATTTCGTCGATATTTTAAATAAAAGTCACCGAGCGCATGTGTGTTCAGGATAAATATTTTGATATAATGTGTAGAATGATAATATCAATGAAATATGTCAATATTGTTCCTGAACACACATGCGCTCTATAAATTTTAAAGCTTAAATTGTTGAAATTTTGTCCATTTTGTCCTCTTTCTGAAAAAGGATATAAAATCGGACTAGTTTGTGACGTCATAAAAACAGAAATTGTGAATACACTGCTCTGGAACTATAATATTTTCTGTTAACTTATATTTCTCGTACAATTTATTGAATTCAGCACATTTCAGGAAGTTTTCAAAATTTGACTTTTGTGGGGGCAAACATATGCAATATACCGCATATAGTTCTTTGGTTGAAATTGGTTCAGTGGTTTCAGAGAAGAAGCTGAAAATGTTCAAATGTTAACGCACGACGCACGACGAACGACGACGGACGAAAAGTGATAGCAATAGGTCACCTGAGTTTACTCAGGTGACCTAAAAATTTATATTAAAAAAAAAAATAAGAAAAAAAATTTTGTCAGAGAAAACTTAAAAATGTGATCAGTGCAATAAAATTCATACGTAATAGTAATACACAAGGTATCTAACTTGAATTACAAGAATCACATCACTGCCTTCACAGAATTGCACATTTTTATGCAAGCAGAGATGTACTGGCAAAGAATGGCAAAGTGTTTATAATTATTCTCTTCTACAATCATTCATTTACAAAATCATATATGACATGCTTGTCTTTATTCTCTTTTAAGACATGCTTGACTTGTTTACCTTTAAGTAGAAGTTTTCAATGATTTATCATGTAACGAAAAGATTAAACAACAACACTTACTCCTCCCCCTCCGAATCCGACCTTGCAGATGACCTTGAACTACTGCTGCTTTCTGACTCGGACCCAGAATCATCTACCCGCTCCTTTTCTGGTTCAGATTTCGGATCCTCCTCTTCATCGTCATCATCATCAGAGTATATATCACTTGTTTTCAGCAGTTTCTTTTTTTGTTCTTGTTTTTCCTCTTGTTTCTTAATCTGTTCCTCAGCTGTTACACAAAGAAAACATAATTCACTATTTATTTCAGCAAATACTTCTTTTTGTATTTTTATAAACCTAAATCATTGAAGCTTATTGATTAAATGTTTATCTTTTATGTATCATATCTTCTTTATTTGTTTACGGCTGGTTTCTTTTTTTCAATGAACGAGGTTCAAATGAGAATTTTTCAAAGTCCTATTTCTCCTATGTAGTCTATAGTCCCTTTCTATGAGAGAGTAACAGAGAGGCCGAGTCTCACCGATTTTCTTTTTTTCCTCTCGTTTCTTCATCAGGTCCGTGAGAGCAGAGAATTTTTTATTGTCCTTCTTCTCCTCCATATTTTTACGTCTTTCGATACTTCTCTGAGTGACTGATTTCAGATCTTTCAGGTCCTGAACAGATGATACAAGTACTTTCTCCTTCTTCTTTTGCTCTTTTTTCTTCTGTTGCTTTAATTTCTTTTCTATCTCAAATCTAGCAAAGACCAAAAAATAAAACAAAACATTAGTTTATTTCTAACTTATTAAGTCTTTTTATCCAATGCCTGACCTAGTTGAAAATGTGTGTTGTTGGCCTATATACATGTAGTTGCAAGTATGTGTAGTTTTTATCTAATGTCTTTCCTAGTTTTTAGTGTCTATCAACTCTGTTTAACCCCTGACCTAGTTTAAAGTGTGTTTTTATGTAATGTCTGACCTAGTTTTGGGTGCCTGTTTTTATCTAATGTCCATACATGTTAACTCTACCGATTTAGGCGGGAGTCTACCGCTTTTTCACTCCATCTCCCGCCTACAGATTTAATTCAGAAATCTACCGCTTTTCTACAAAAGTTGCATCTAAAGTATTTTTGGTTCGCTTGGGTATCCATTTTTGAAGCCAAACTGATAGAATCTCGTTAAATATCCCGTGATTTGACTCGAAAGCATACAAACGCTTTTTTTAGTATCGATGTGTACATAGATTTCAAGTACGAATTTGACAACGACAACAGCAAAAGATTACCAGTGATTACATTGGTTACAATAAATTTAGTCAACATCACTGCCATGAAAAAGGAGATACAGTTTTTAAGAATTAGATAAAAACGCTTGACATCGTCTTTAAAAGCACAGAAGCTCACAAAGTTATCAATAAAGTCAATAGAAATCACTCGATTGACCAAGCCATGTGGCACATCTCTACTTTCGTTTTCGACCATCGCAGGAAATCTGAGTTATATAACGAAAGATAGGAACTTGTTTTAGATCTAATTTAAACCATGTCATCATTTGTTTTGTTTAACAACTGAATGAACATTCAGAATTATTGCTTCTAGGCTATATCAGCAAAGATCACTTTTCAAAAGGCTAAGTTAAACAGCACATCCAAGCAAAATGATGAGTATGAAAAATATTTGAATTTGTACAATTTATGTCAAACTTAAGGTGTTTCTGTCTTCTTCTTTAAAGTGCAATTGATATTTAAGATTAATTATTGTAGGTTTCATTTAAGGCTACATTCATGTATATTACATGATATATATCGATAATCCAAGCGTAAAACAACGCGCACGCAATGCTACCGCTTTTGAGGTCTGAATCTCCCTATTTTTCATCACAATAGGTTAACATGTATGATATTGGGTTAATCTCGGTATTAAACGATTAAATAATTTTGTTACGGTTTGACTGAAAGTGAGTCTTGAAGTCTTTCCGTGTAAATAATTGAATATCTTTGATAAATCTTAGGAATTCAATCAATTTAAAGTGATAATTCAGTTGCGTTATAGGAAACATTCAAGCAGGAATTAAGACGAGGATTTGATATAGAAATTATAGAGGTACATTTCTTGCTTTAAATAATTTGGTAGATCCTGTAGATTTGTTAAGGGAGAAATACTTTGGTTATTCTAAGGTATTTTTAGGATTTAATACTCACTAATCGGGTCATTCTCGTTTAGTGCGCCCCCCTCCCCCCCTTTATTGTATTAACGTTATATCAAGATTGTGTTACTGTTCGTGTAGTGTTTCACTGTGACTTTGGGTGATTCCTGACGTCCAGTGAATTTTATTGTAATTTATTTATTGTAGTACATATTGTGACTTTTATTTATTGAATAAATTTGTAAACTTTAAATAAGGCTTATTTAACTTCCCCGTACTTTTATTTGCAAGTCCAAACACAGGTAATTCTTGTGTTATTATAGGAGATCTTTATTTACGGGTTATTCTCGTTAATCATCAGAGTACTACATGGGTTATTCCCAAGTAGGTATTTAAAAGTACTTGTGCCTGAGATCCAAGCAGCTCAGGTCCGTTACATTGACCTTATTTTAGGTGCCTATTTTTTATCTAATACCTGACCTAGTTTTAGGTGCCTGTTTTAATCCAATGCCTGACCTAGTTTTCAGGTGCCTGTTTCAATATAATGTCTGACCTAGTTTTCAGTGCCTGTTTTATCTGATGTCTGACCTAGTTTTGGGTGCCTGTTTTAATCAAATGCCTGACCTAGTTTTAAGTGCCTGTTTTAATATAATGCCTGACCTAGTTTTAAGTGCCTGTTTTAATCTAATGCTTGACCTAGTTTTAAGTGACTGTTTTAATCTAATGTCTGACCTAGTTTTCAGTGCCTGTCGTCTCTCTATTCTGTTGTACAGTTCTTGCTCCCTTTCTTTCTCTGTCATTTGTTCTAATCGCAGTCTGTCTTCTTCATCCCCAATCAGATTTTCATCATAGCCATCGTTAAACTGCTCCTCTTGATCCGAGTCCGAGACGGCGCCATCATCACTGGACGACACTTCACCTACAAATAAAAGAATCCTTAAAATAAGGCTGCTTCGTTTTCTATGGTATCATCAAAATTATATTTTGAGAAAATAAAATTTAAGTTCAGTGATCAAAGTACTGAATATATTCCATAAAGATGAAGAAAACACATTTACATTCACTGTATATGTATACAAGGTTTCTGGTGAGTAATATTAATTCTGGAAGAAATCTTAATCACTCAAACAGGTTCTCACTGTCCAACCCAGTCAATTCAAATTCAAGAATAAACAAGTAAATAATCCAAAGATTGGGATCCAAAGATTGGGAATGTCTATGAAATAATGTGAAAATCAGTCCTTCCTACTCTTTCTACTTTATCCAAGCACCTGTTTTCTATGCCATACCTTCTCCAGGCTCGGATTGAATTACATTTCTATGCAAACCTTTATGTTGTTGTCAGGTCAGACACCTAATTTTGTATATGTGTTACCTTCTTTTTTATCAATGAAAGGCTCATAAATCAACTTATTTTTTTTTCTATGTCATACTTTTTCAGGCTCAGACACCTAATTTCTATGCCATACCTTCTTCAGTCTCAGACACTTAATTTCTATGCCATATCTTCTTGGGCCCAGAAACAAAATTTCTATACAATATTTTCCTTTCATTAGACACCTAACTTCTATGTCATACCTTCTTCAGTCTCAGTCACTCTATTTCTATGTCATACCTTCTTCAGTCTCAGTCACTCTATTTCTATGTCATACCCTCTTCATCAGACACCTAATTTCTATGTCATACCTTCTTCAGTCTCAGTCACTCTATTTCTATGTCCTACCTTCTTCCGGCTCAGACACCTGTTTGTCACTCTCTGCACCACTTTCATCTGATGACACAGCTGCTTTTCTCTTTGTTTTTTTGGATGAAGATTTTGTTTTCTTTTTCTTGCTTCCCTTCTTCCCAAAGTTCCACTATACAAAAGATAACATATAACTCAAGATTTAATAATATTGTGAATGTCTGCATTATTCTTACAATGATTTGGCATATTGTAATCATAGTTTGTGTAAAAGATTCACAGAATGGATGAATTTGTATTTTAAATTTTTTAAACTAATTCCTCTGCAAACTAATGTTTACCATTATTCCATGCAGTTATGTGTATGTCTAAACTCCTTTAAAATATGCAAAGTAAAATACTTTAATTTTAAGATCAAAGGATTTAACATTTCAATAGTCATTAATTCATGCAAGACATTTCTTATGTTTTCCTAAAGTAAAAAACATCAAAGTTACATCTTCGTCACTCTCTGATGTCTCTGATTCCGAGTCACTCTTGGCTTTAGCCGTGGCCTGAGGCTCCGGGGCTGCTGGGCGTTTCCTCTTGGCCAGAGCTTTGAAATCCTGTAAATATCATTATTAAATAAATCTTAAAATACTCAACATAAACTAAAGCTATAAATACCAAATCCTGTAAATATCAATATTATCTAAATCTTGAAATATCCATCATAAACTAAAGCTATAAAACCATTATATACTAAAGCTATTAATATCAAATCCTGTAAATACCATTCACTAAATCTTAAAATATCCATCATAAATTAAAGCTATAAATACCCACCATATACTAAAAGCTATAAATACCAAATCCTGTAAATATCATTGTTAACTAAATCTTAAGATACCTATATTAAACTAGATATCACATAACTTCTTTTGGGAATGGGACCATAAATATTGGATTGAATAGTGACCTTTTTTTGAATTTTTAAAATAATTTTTATCATTACACTTGAAATACTGGGTTTCTTGCCTAACTGTTATAAACTATATTTTTGTTTTGCAATATTGAGGAATATGTATGGCAATTATACATCTAAATACATTTTGTTTATTTTAGGGAGAAATTATGAACAATGGAAAAATCACTAACATATTCAGGAAAAATGGTACCCCTTATGAATTTGGAATGGGGACCTTGAACAGTCCAATTATAGAAGTCCTAAAAACCTACATTTCAAATGTCGTGATATTTTCTTTTTATATCAAATTAAATACTCAAGGAATTATATGTTTGTGAAATATTTCACTTAATCTATGTATCATGCTGGTTGAAGTGGAACAAATTATTAGATAGAGTATATGAAACTAACAGTATATTCAATACATGTATTCTTTTCTAAATGAGAATTAAGGTCACCTTAATATCATCATTTACTGGTTGTTACTTATTTCATTCTGTAATCAAGATATTAATCTAGTGATGTTAGTTAATCAAAAGATATTTTAAAATGTGCAGAGTATCTCATCATAAATATTTCTTTCATTGTTTAATGTAATCTTGACTAAGTCAGTGACTTTCTGAAGTATTATCTTGCTAGTATGCAGTATACAGAGGGAAAATGTGGGCTTTCATGAGAAATTAAAAATGATTCACATATAGGGAAGATGTGTATTAGCATGAACATTTATGTTTTGTGTATCTAAACTTGGGGGAATTTGACTGCATGTATTGTAAAATTGTTTATCTTTCTAATTTTCCTTTCTTATTCCTAATACCGAAGTGATATAAAATGTATAGGCCTATGCTGTGTTAAAATTAATCCACAATTTCAACAATGCAAGTAAAACAACAGGCTCAACCTACTTCGTCAAGGTTTGAGCCACTTTCACTATCATCACTGTCTGAATCAATCAGAGCAGTCGTCTTCTTTCGTTTAGACATAGTAGTCAGGTTTGTAAGAGTCAATTTGAAAACATGGACACTCTTTGGCAGCGCAAAATATCTCTTTTTACCCACAATCCATTGCGAAGGTCGAACGACCTAACATCTCTTGTAGGTTTGTAAGAAATGGGTCAGCTTGCAGTTAGCAATACAAGCGTCTGAATAATCAGGATGTAAATACGGAAGTGAAGAAATCGCATTTCATTATTCCCACAGATTGTCAACTTGTCATGAAAGAAACAAAAACATTCTGTTATTTTGAGTACATTTGAAGCAGAGAAAATGACACACAAGCATGGCAGCTGTTCTGAAAAGAAATTCACGAACTAGGTCATCAAAACGATTCTGTAAGGAAAAATTTTGCTGTAAAACTGAAAATACAGAGGCGCAGTACTATTGTGAGGAGTGTGGCACAGACCAATGTATTGAGTGTGATGAAGCAATACATAAAATAAGTGTCAAGTTTGAATTTCACGATAGAAGAAAGATAGAGCCGCCTCCTTCAGAGGATTTGTGTCAAATTGCTAAAGCTCAAAATTTGCTCGTCTGTGAAGAAGATAATTTTGCGGATTTGAGATGTGAAGTGTGTGCCTTAAATTTCTGTTTCAGTTGTTTTGATTATTATCACAAAGGCAGCAGAAAAACTCACAAAAAAATCTTCTTCAAGGAATTCAGACAAAGACAATTGCAGGACCAACTGAACAATCATATTAAACCTTCTAGTCCATTGCAGGGCAGTGATGACAGCTTAACATTTATGTCATGTCCACAATTGCAAGACCAGTACCCCGATTTTAGTTCACAGCAAACACAAATATCTGAATTAAAATCATATGACAATATTCAGAACGAAAGCATGAACTCATTTAGCAGTGCTAAATCTGATCATAGTCAACCAAGTAGCATTCCAGATATTTGTTTATCAGCAGGGAGTGAAATGTCCAACATTGAAGCTCAGCTTGCAGAGAGCATCATAGATCTAAATGATCCATATGATGACACTAAGAGCTTTATGTTGATAAATGACCAAGAAGTCATACAGGTATTCTTGAGATAAGAAACTGTTTATGATATGCAGTGAAAACTGTCTAATCCAACATGAAATTAGACATACTGATACATTTCATTTTAGAATAGGCTGTGTACATGTATAAGATTGCAAAATTAAGGGAAAAAAAGTAGAAAATAGTAAAGAAAGGGGGAAAGTACATCATAAGGAAAAGGTAGAAATTCACAGTGACAAAGGTGTCAGATTAGACAGTTTTTTCTGTAAATAATTTTATACAGTGAAGTTTCAATTTTATTGAATATTTTTATTTAATATTTTTATATACATGTATATAAAATTTGATTTTCTTTTTTAAAAGGATCAGAATTGTTTCACATATGCATTCTAGCACAACATATCAGAGAAAAGTTATTAATGCAAATGTATATTTGCCATGTTCTACCAAAAAGACAATATTATCCATTATTGTTGTTCAAGTGTCTGCTTATTTTTCATTAAATATTTCTTAAGAAATGTAATTTCCAAGAAGTTTGAAAAATCTTTATTTCTTTAAAATTTGTATTAATAAATTTTACTTTTACAGATTGAAGATGAAGAAGAGTTCGCCCAGCGCCTCGGATGTGACAACAATGAACTCGTTAAAGTTGTCTCAATATTTGGTAACACAGGAGATGGCAAATCATTCACACTGAATCACACATTCTTTGGAGGTAAAGAAATTTTTAAGACCTCTTCACACCAGTCTTCATGCACTGTAGGAGTTTGGGCAGCATTTGACCCGAAGGAAAAGGTCATTGTCATAGACACAGAGGGTCTACTAGGAATTACATCCAATCAGAATCAAAGGATGCGCTTACTGCTGAAGGTTCTAGGAATATCTGATATCATCATTTACAGGTCCAGAGCAGAACGATTGCACAATGATATGTATCAGTTTCTGTGTGAGTCCTCTTCAGCCTATACCAAGCATTTCTCTGAGGAACTAGAGGCCACTGCTAGGAGGTGTAACAAGTGTGTGGCCGATCTGACTCCAGCTGTCATTATATTCCAGGAGACGGTCAACACTAATGTTCTAACTAACTCAGGTACGTCTTATTGTCTTGTTTATCTACTGTTTTATCAATGAACTATGCCACATTTCAAAAAAATAAGTACCAAAAACCCATATTTACTGGTAAATGTAAAAAATATGCAAAAGTTAACATTTGGTTACTATTCTTTAGCGAATATTGTTACCCAGGCATTATCTTTTCCCTAAAGTATCACATTCATCAATTGATAAATAAAGATTAGATCAAGATTTCAGCAGATTAGTTTGAATTGACTGTAACAAAAATGAAAGTTCTAGTAATTATTTGATTAAACTGAAACTTCATGCTGTATGTTGATATTTTTGGTTGATGATAAAAATGAAAGCTTAAATAAAGAAGAACAAAATAAACATATTTTTTTTTATAACATTATATGATGTAAGTAATGTGCATCAATGTTTTATCTGTAATAATTTTTTTTGGTTTTAGGTACAGACTCTGCTGAGAAATTTATCTGGAATACATTCCGTCAACTTGAGTGTACTATGCATTTTAAGGACCTGACCTATGTGGGGGTAAGGACACAGAGACCCCCCACAGACTTCTCCAGGTTCCAGACCGTCATGTCTCAGCACTTATCAGACAAGACAAATCGCGCAGCTCGCAAACCAGCAATAGTCTTCAAAACCCTCAAGGTTCGCATATTTAGAAAGGGGGGCAGGGGGGGGGGGGGAAAGGGAAGTAAGATTCTATTTATCATTTAATGGCACCTGATACACCTCTAACAATTTTAGAGGTCTTTGTTTACTCTGCTCCCAATTTGTATTGATTCATGTCCATATTTTGTTTATTTCATATTAGTCTTGGAATCTGAGGGTAATTTTTTCATTCTGAAACAGATTTTACTCAACGTACACTCATACAAAACACCAAGGATTTATTGATTTTAAAAAAAAAATAAAGATTTTGTACTTGACTTTGATTTGAGAATTTTTCTTGTAATTTGACATTGTAGAACCTGAATGAGAAGTTCAATGGAGAGGTGGAGAAGCCGGCGTATGGGACATTTCCTGATCAGCTGTTTTCCTGTTCCATGAAATGTCTGTCATGTGGGTTAGTGCACTTATAAAATGTTGTAAAATAAAAAGGAAGAACTTACATTCAGTAAAATATCAGTGTATTTTTAGCAGCAAGGTATTATTTCAATGAATATGACAAAACTTTTTATTAAAAAATTGAAACAGATTTTTCCTTGAGAATAGTTCAAGATTTTTAAGTGATATTTTTAAAGATGTAGATACATATAAAAATCCTAATGTATTGGCTTGTTTTATATATATTATATAGGGAGGGTTGTACTAGGAGTATGAACCACGACACAGACACTGAACCCCACGAAACTGACAAGAGGTGTAAATATCAGCATCAGTTTGAGAACAAAGTCTATTTGTGTAAGGTAAGATCTCATTGTCTAATGAAACAGAGAAGGGGTGTAAATTATTAGCACAATTTGGACAAGCTAGAAAAGAAAAGGGCTTACTCAGCCTCTTAGTATTATTTCAATCTGTACAATTCTCATTAATTTGTAGTAATTTAAAGTCTGATTATAATAATTTTTAAAGCTGTAAAATTTATGGGTTTTTTGGTGGTAATTTGATGTTATAATTTTGTTCACTTTTCAAGTAAAAAGTTTGCTTTACTTAAAATCTTTCTCTGTTTTAGTCCTGTTACTTGTCTGGTAAAGAACATGTTGTCATACCAAAAACTTCCGAATCAAGAGACAGTGCATGGAGTGGGCTTATCAAATATATGTGGGCAGGGTAAGTGGTTGATTGGGCTCATCAAATATGTGTGGGTAGGTTAAATAATTTTTTGGGGTCATTTAATATATGTGGGTAATGTATTAATTGGTTCATTGGGCTCATAAAATGTATGTGGACAGGGTAAATAGTTCACTGGGCTCATCAAATATATGTGGTCAGGGTAAATAGTTCATTGGGCTCATCAAATATATGTGGGCAGGGTAAGTGGTTGATTGGGCTCATCAAATATGTGTGGGCAGGGTAAATAGTTCATTTGGGCTCATCAAATATTTGTGGGCAGGGTAAGTGGTTCATTGGGCATATCAAATATATATGGACAGGTTAAATAGTTCAGTTGAGCTCATCAAATACATGTGGGAAGGGTAAGTGGTTCATTGGGATTAACAAATGTAGGTGGACAGGGTTAGTAATTCATTGGTCTCATCAGATATACAAATGTATGTGGGCAGGATTAGTAGTTCATTGGGCTCATTAGATATATGTGAGCAGATTTAGTAGTTCATTGGACTCATTAGATATATGTGAGCAGATTTAGTAGTTCATTGGGCTCACTGAATATATGTGGTCAAGGTAAGTACCGTTTAGCGGGTTTTCTTGGCAGGTGTAAAATTTGGCGTTTTGCCTGCTCAAGGATTTGCCAATAATTTTGGCGTAATTTATTTTAGCGGACACAGAGTTTCAGCTCTTTGCAGACAAACACTTAAAAGAGTACTGACTATTTTAGTGATTAAAATTTTAGCAGGCTACCATCAAAACGCCAAAATAAGCTAAAATTAGCACCCCCACTAAAATAACCGGCTATATGGTTGTTCATTGGGCTCATCAAATATATGTGGACAGGGTAAATTGGTTTAGAGTATATGATTCAGCTCATCTTATACAACACTTGATGTAAGTGCTTCATAGTCATTGAATACATTAGATGGATAAAGAAGTTTGGTTCTCCTTGATGTACACAGGTAAATTCATCCAGTCCATGAAGGAAAGGACATTTTAACACTCTAGCAACAGAGTAGTAGGGGTATATGGGAATCACTTTGTCCATCCATTCAACTATCTATAGCTGTTTGTGTGTAGAAAAAGGTCAAGGGGAAGATTCTTTTCTGTTTTTCAAAGTGAGCGGCAAGGGTAGTTCTGGGGTGGGGTTGGTTTTTTTTTATCCTATTTGTAAAATTCATAGACTGATATGGGTATGGATTAAGTAAATTTTCTTACAGTTTAGTAAATGTTCTATATAAATAAACTTGAACATGCATGAAGTATTTTAGTATAAGGTTTTTATTAGCAGTAATAAAATCAAAGATTACAAAAAATGTATACCATAATTAATATTGTGATAATTTTGTTACAGAGAGGTACTGGAGTGCCCCAGTTGTGGAGTGATATTTCGAAGTCGTCAGAACTGGTATGGCAATAAAGACGTGGAAGAAATTGTTCATACTGAAATACGTCATGTATGGCCTGACGTAAGTTCTTCTGATGCTTACAATGAATCCTGCCCAATTGACTAATGCACGGATTAGTCCATTCTCACCATCAGGATATTAATTCTGTGTTTTTTTGGATTTCAGGGTTATAAGATGTTACAAGGAACCAACAATGCTGCTCGCAAAGTGATTGATAGTTTCCACTATATAGCAGACTCCATCACTAGTGTGGGATCTAAACCTACAAAGATGATCTCAGATTGGATGAATGATCGCATTGCTCCTGAGTACTGGGTTCCAAATTCTCAAATTTCTGTGAGTATTTCAGTTGCTGTGACATGCCATCTGTATTGTGCATATCATGCACTAGTCAACCAGAAGAGACATTCAGAGATTGTACAGCTTAAATCTCGTAAAGTTTTATGATGTTTCTAATACCTGTAATTTTGTACTTTTAATAATTTGGGTATATAGGTAAGTTTTAGTTGTAATCCCTTCTTGTCCATTGTAGGAGTGCCACCAGTGTTCTAAGGAGCTAGAGAATGAGCAGAAACACCACTGCCGAGCTTGTGGTAAAGGTTTCTGTGACGACTGTAGTTCCCAACGGCGACGTGTTCCAGAACGAGGCTGGGGGGAAATGGTTGTCAGAGTGTGTGACAAATGTTACGGTGGGAAAAAATTGTCAGGTACATACATTTGCTGTCCTCTTCTATTATTATACACAATTACTGCTGTTTTCTGTCACTACAATGATTTAGTCACTGAGGAGTATAGAGTGTATTTAGCCTGAAGTGCAAGGAGATCGTCATTCTTGAGAGATGTATATATTGTTTTATTGTCAGAAAAACAGCAGTAATTGTATTATTATATGATTTGATGATAAATTAACTCATAGAGTAGTCTATGTGATCTTGATTACATTTACTGAATAATTAGCCAATGAGAGAAGTAGGGTTAAAATAAACATAATGAGTTTTATAAATATGGAATTTTTTTGAAAAGGGGGCATTATAAGGAAAATTGACCTTTTACCTGAAAAAATCTTTTACTAGCACCTTCCCTCCCCTCAATAGAATACTTCAAATTCCAAATTTTATTTTGAGGGTTGAGGATGTTTAGGTTCATTAAAGTAGGAGGGATTTAACTGTATCAAAAATACCTGGTAGTAAGGCAACCAGCGTAAAATAAGTACTTTAACTGTATAAATGTGTGTGTTCATATATTTCCAACTTATAAAATAAATTTGTTTCTGTGCAAAATAATAACTTCTTGTATGTAAATTATCTTATGGACAGATTCAAATGATAGCACAAGAAGTAATTCTCAGGTCACTGCTAGAAAGGTGGGAGAGGTGGTAACCTCAGCTATCAGTGTCGCAGCATCTACACTTAATTACCCTATAGGTGAGTACCAATAAGTGTATGTACCCTTTTAGGGTAGGTTGGGACCACTTATGCATTTAAGCTTTCAATACTAAGATTAAAATTGCTTTTTTCCTAGCCAAATTGCTCAGGTGAGCAATGCGGCCCAATTGCCTCTTGTTCATTTGTTCTAAAGAACTATTTTTAATTTTACAATTAAATGTTATAGAAATAAGATAATCTTTTTAAGACTTAAGGTTGGTTGGATGAAATTTGTCTACATTGTCCCTCTTAGATGGATTTAGATTCATTTTCAAACTCTTCAGACAGTTGTGGTAAATTTCCCAATGTAATTTTAGGTATGATTAAAGACACAGCTAGACCTGCATATTGGGCTCCTGATGAATCGATCAAAATGTGCCATGTCTGTGAAGAATTATTTGGCCCCAAACTTCGGATCCACCACTGCAGAGCTTGTGGACAGGGTGTCTGTGAGAGCTGCTCTCCTAACAAGCGCCCTGTTCCAATGAGGGGCTGGGATTACCCGGTCCGCATTTGTAGGAAGTGTGAGAACAAAAGGGACCACTTGTAAACATTGTCATCCATTCAGCCACAAGTTTATTTCTTGTTTTCTAAATAAACAAAATGCAGTAATTTACCTTTACTATGAGGGAGGTATAAATGACAGATTGCTATTGAAGATGTGGCTAGTTTGAGGTTGTAACTTCTGCGAGCATCGTTATTTTACATCTCATTATGACCCAGGCTTTATTGTTAATTTTATTTTCCTTTTTCTAATTCAAGGATACATTATTTACTTTACAGGTTATTTTATGTTCAGGTGCTAAGGTAACAGTTAGAGCTATCTAAGCATTTTTTATCTGCTATTGCAAATTTGAAAGTACATGCACATGTTTCAAGAAAATGTGCTGTTTTTGATAAGTAGATCTGCTAGAAATAATTATTGCAGATTCAAGACATGGAATTATTTACTGTTGATTAAAACATGTTCTCATGTATGCCTTCTTCAGGATTATGTATAGTATAAAGTAGGAAGTATGCTATTCATGGCATAGTTACAAGATTTATATATAATAGGCCTTAAATTGGTTCTGTGAGTATTTTAACTCATTTTTCTCTGTAACTAGACAAAGTTAAGGTCAGGTGTCATGTTCCTCAAATATATCTTTTGTATTTCTTGGTATTACATAAAATAATTATGCATATTTGTCATTCTCTTGCAATTTCTACATTGTTTTCAGTACGTTTTTAGATATACCAGTATAAGTACATCAAAAATTGTGATATAGGTCATTCAGATGATGACCGTTATGTGATATATAAGAAATATCACCCTGTGGTATCTTGTCCAAATGCCTGGTAAGGTACCCTAATTTGTTGTGAGGAAACTTGTTTAAGAACCTAAACTTCAATGACAAATTCTTGGGAAAAATTATGTATTTTTAAGGAACGTGTGGTCTGACCTTAAAAGAAACGTAGATTGCTCTGAGGCAAATTTTCCTTCTGAGTTATTCCCCTTGGCCTAACCTTGGATGTCAAACAAGGTGGCAAAGTCTCCTCTTTAAGCACCAATCAAACATGCATGGCAAAAACCTTTACAGTGTTAAACTTGTAAATTAATGAAGGCTTTATAAAATGTGTATTCATCAGGAAATAGTGCTAACTACACCTAAATGTCCAGTATGACAAGTTTAAATTGGATGAATGTTATGAAATCTTTGGCTGTTGACTTCCAATAGGGCTGCAAATGGAAAATAACTCTTATTGTTTCAATCGAAAGAGTCCATATTCACTGTGGCTAATGCTGGTTGTAATTAGAAATTGCAAATTTTAATCATCTGTGCCATTTTCAGTTGGTAAAGGGTATACATTTATATGATTGTATTTATACTCAAGGTACTTCAACAATATGTTTGTGGAAACAAATCTTTTCAAGTGTTCTGAATGAGGAAGATGTATACATGTATTAAACCCAGGTCATATAATGCATCTGATAATTATAATGTTCTTAGCTATGAGTAAGATTCAGTGTCAAACTTGAGAAATCAGTTCATTTACATATACATGGAAATTCAATGCATTTTAATGAATATGTCAGTCTAGATGGTGGTAAAAAAGTAGTATCTTTATATTTATTTTATTTCATGTAACTTTCTGATGAATGGAAGTAAAGTAAAGTTTGTTAGCATTTATGAAACAGAATGTGGTCTTTTGTTTGATATTTGTATCATTTTTTTTCCATGTAGAAAAAGACTTGAAATTCCTTAATCAAATTACTAGAAGAAAAGAGATAGGTCATGAATTGACAATAGTGCGACTCCCCCCTCTCTGTAAATTTTCTCAATAAAGTGTGCTCTTCTGGAATTAGCTGGAAATTTAAACTTTGCTTTTTGATTGTTGATTAGTTTGTGACCTATGTGTTTTGTACAACTTTTCCTGGACCCAATATAGCTGTCTTGTTCTGTGATACCGATGTGCAATGGATCCTTTAATTTGTTAGTATGCTGTATTGATTCATGTTTTAGAACAAAATTAAATCATTTTCTGTATTCTTGGCTTATTCACTCTACAGTTAATTTATTTGACATCTTTCCAATTTTTAGCTCTTCTGAGCCAAAGGCTCAAAGAGCTAATTTTCTGGCCATTTGTGCGGTGTGCGGTGTCCGTTAACTTTTTAGAATATGGGCAATAACTCAAGAACCCCTTGGCCAATCATTGTCAAATTTGTTACAGGGTATCCTTGGCCCAAGGGCTACCATTTATACTAAAACTAGGGTTGTGACCCTAAAACAAGGGGAGATTATCAGGAAAATAGAACCAAAAGTACTGGTTGCTAAAAAATCTTCTTCTCCAGAACCACCAAGCAGATTTTCACTAAACTTACACACAAGGTTCAGGATATGTTGAAGATTAAAAATTGTTTAAGGTATGACTCTGGGGCAAAGGGCGTGGTCTCAAGGTCACTTCAAAGTTAACCAAAATTTACACTTAATAAAAACGTTGATATTTTGCATACTATAAAGACTAGGATCATCAAATCTTGTAAGTTGATGCATCTTAGGACTTCACATCATGTTAACACAAAAGTAGGTCACGGTGATCTACTTTTTAAATTTTTCGGGCTTTTGTTTTCAAATTGATTTGAAGGCATATTTTGGACACTTTAAGGCCTATGATCATCAAACTTTGTCAGTTGAAGCATCTTTGGTTCTTAAACAAGGTCAACTTAAAAGTAGGTCACTCCCATTATTTCAGATACCGAGAGGTTTAGATTCACCAAATCTTGTAAGTTGATGCATCTTGGGGCCTTGGGACCTACTTTTTGAATTTTGCAGGCATTTGTTTTCAAATTGTTTAATAGGCATATTTTGAATACTTTCAGACCTATGATCATCAAACTTTGTCTGTTGATGCAGTTGATGCATAAGTCATGGTGACCTACTTTTGACATTTTATGGCTATATTTAAGTATCTTAGGTACTTTTTGGCTTAGAAAAGTCAGTTGATCATGGTGACCTACTGTGATCTAGTTTTGACATTTTATGGCTATATTTCGGTACCTTAGGTACTTTTTGGCTTAGAATCATCAAACTTTGTCATTTGGCACAACTTGGGTTTTCAGAACATGTCAATCTAAAAGTAGGTCACTGTGACCTAGTTTTGAATTTTATGGCTACTGGTATATTTATTTATCCTGGGTACTTATTGGCCTAGAATTGTCAAACGTTGTCAGTTGAGGCATCTTGGGATTTCACAGAATGTCAACCAAAAAGTAGGTCACAATGACCTACTTTTGATTCTTTTAGGTTTTCGGAGAATGTCGACCAAAAAGTAGGTCACAATGACCTACTTTTAATTATCTCAGGTACTTATTGGCTTAGAATCATGAAACATTGTCAGTTGATGCATCTTGGGCCCTCTGAAAATGTTGACCAAAAAGGAGGTCATGGTGACCTACTTTTGACATTTTATGGCTATATTTAAATATCTTCGGTACTTTTTGGCTTAGAATTATCAAAACTTTGTCATTTTGATGGAACTTGGTTTTTCGGAGAATGTCGACCAAAAAGTAGGTCACTGTGACCTACTTTTGACATTTTATGGTTATATCTAATAGGTAATTTTTTGCTTAGAATTATCAAACGTTGTCAGTTGAGGCATCTTGGTTTTTGGAGAATTTCGACCAAAACGTAGGTCACAGTGACCTACTTTTAATTATCTCAGATAGTTATTGGCTTAGAATCATCAAACATTGTCAGTTGATGCATCTTGGGTCCTCGGAAAATGTCGACCAAAAAGTAAGTCACGGTGACCTATTTTTGACATTTTATTGCTTTAATTAAGTATCTCTGGTACTTATTGGCTTAGAATCATCAAACTCTGATAGTTGATGCATCTTTGGTCCTCGGAGAATGTCAACTATAAGAAGGTCACAGTGACCTACTTTAATATTTGAGGTACCAATTGGCTTAGAACCATCAATCTTTGTCAATTAATGCATCTTGGGTCCTCAGAAAGTTTCAAATCAAAAAGTAGGTCACCATGTCCTACTTATGGTATTTTATAGCTATACTGAAATATCTTCAGTCCTAACTGGCAAAGAATCATCAAACTTTGTCAGTTCATGCATCTTAGGATATTTAGAGTAAGAGGCTTCAAATAGAAGTGATAGAATAGATTGTACAATTTATCAGAAGAGTGATTCAAGGCCCATGGGCCTCTTGTTTTTCTTTGTTCAGCATCCATCCTATATTGGAAATCCCATCTTTCTATCCAGAAAAACACACAAACCAGAAAGGGGAAAACTACAATTTAAGCACAATTCTAGAATTTCTCATCACCATTTAAGAATTCTTTAAACATCTTAACTAAGTTAAACTTCTAGTTTATTGAAGCAAAATATTTTTGGAACACCACTAAAAAAAGAGTTGCTTATCCCCAAAGAGTAGCTGCATAACTGTAGCTCTCCAGAAAAAATATTTTGAAAGACCAGAGAGCTACAGTGCCACCCATTGTAAAATCATATGTTTATCGCGCATAAAAAAAGTGTGCTGTTTCTCGATTTATTTCTCCATGTTTTTAAACTGTCATCACAAAATATAACTAACCTTGTGTTCTTAAACATATTCTTTCACTGTTTCCACAACAAAACATTCCTTATAATTGTTGTTAATAGCCCTCCTAGCCCTGAAATTGAGATCATCAAAAATTTCGTCTATTTATACTAGCTGCCATTTTGGTTTGAAAGATAATTTGGTCCAACGCACTTCATGCAGATGTCAACTACAAGGAGTACTTAAGAAAATTGTTGAAATCTATCTTTTTTTGCAATTGAGGTACGAATTTGGAAGAATAAAATCCAGAACTAAGTGCAACTTTTTGTGCTCAGTGAATATACAGTTTTTACAATGGGTGGCACTGTAGCTCTACAGTCTGTAAAAGTATTTTTTCCGGAGAGCTACAGTTCTGCAGCTACCCAAAGAGTAAATTGCATTAATTTGAAAAAAAAATTGTTATCAAATTTGTGCTTGTTTTAAAATTTCATAACCTCAAAACCAATCTGTCTGCAGACACTAAACATAAAAAAACTTGGAGTGGCCTTACAGTGAACCGTTGATAACTTGAACTTGGTACATGTATAACAGACCATATAACTCTGAGGGTTCAAGATAATTTAGATTTTGTCTTTATAGTGAGGAGTGCTAAGTTACATGGACACGTCCATAATATCGGACATATGGGTGTTGAAGATAACAATCACTTGTAAGAATATATACCGTATAAGTGGAAATTATAGCGAGACACAAATTTAGCGATTTCTCCTTAAAAATTGGTAATTTATTTTTAGTTAGAGGTAATTTTAGTGATTTTAAAAAGCTTACTTAAGCAGCTATTACAAATAAAATGCAATTAATTTTTAGCGGTATTCAATTTTAGCGATCTCTTGACCCTAGCTAATAATGCCAAAATTAAATCCTCGCTAAAAATTCTACTTACCGGTATACGGTATATCTGTTCATACAATGTAACTGATCTCTCCCATTAACCCCTTACAGAAATTTGAGAAAACTGGAATTTACACAAAGATGTCTTTGACCTAAGGGAATGTTAGCATAAGAAAACTACCTAATTGTTTTTACACAATATTTTCTCATTTTAATGCAAATTTTAATTTTTGCACCTTCTTATGTCCTCTGTGTATGCTTTGAATCAAAATTAGTGCTGGTTTTAAAACAAGCATCAATTTAAGTTCTTAACTAAAAACTATCACAGTTTATATGTGTTCGAATTTTTACACCAAATAAGGGGCCAGATTCAGTGGTTACCATACCTTGTCCTTTTGCAGGAAGCACCACTCATGAAATAAAATTACTTGTTTTTATTTTTTTGGTGCTGAAATCAATGTAGAATCTTTTGATCAACTCTCCACTCAGGAATTATTGTTCTCGAAACTTGTTTTTAAAGAGCCATTTCGCATTAAGTAACCGGGAAAAATAAGGAATTTACAGTAGTCAATGACACACATTTGAGAATCAAAGAAAGTGAGCATTGAAGCCTATAGACCCCTTCTTCACACACTGCTAAACAATAGAAAATCTGTCATGGCCAATTCTTAGAGCAATAAAAAAAAGTTTTTATCTTTCAATATGGCATTTAATTATAAATAAGTAAATATTTTTACATATACATACATCATTATACATACATGTACATATTAAACTCTCCCCCTCCTTTCTTCTCTCTCTCTCTCTCTCTCTTGAATGATTTTTGTTCTTTAAGAAAGGCACAATTGTAGCTGGATTTTCCCATTCATTTTAATGTGGAGTTATTTTTCAGTTTCAGATGTCTTATTCCATTGTGCAACTCTGTTCCAAATAAATGAAATTGTACACACATTTCCTAGACTGTCACTATATACCATGTACATTTATATTTAGTACGCTTGTACAAATTTCCGGCCGGGGGTACACACATACAATTTAATAGCTTGTATTGGCCGGGGGTACACACATACAATGTAACAGTTTGTATTGGCCGGGGGTACACACATACAATGTAATAGCTTTTATTGGCCGGGGGTACACACATACAATGTAATAGTTTGTATTGGCCGGGGGCTATTTGAAGAACTTCCACCATATCACTACTCCTAAAATACCCAGTTCTAAAAGGATGACCACAATCAGTATCATCTTATTGGTCATCACCCTATCAATAAAAAAGATTGGTTATAAAATATAAAACAGATCATCTTATTGGTCATCACCCTGTCAATAAAAAAGATTGGTTATCAAACATAAAACAGATAATCTGATTGGTCACCACCCTGTCAATAAAATAAAACATAAAACAGATAATCTTATTGGTCATCACCCTGTCAACAAGAGGCCCATAAAACATAAAACACCTGATAATCTTTGACCATTCTGTTCTTTACCACCCCCTTGTAATACAATGATCCCCACCCTACCCCATATCATATTTAAGACATTTTGAAATCAACTACCCCAGGATCCTTCCATGTGCAAATAAGTTTCAGATTTTCTGGCCCAGTGGTTCTTGAGAAGAAGATTTTCAAAGATTTTTCCTATATATTTCTATGTAAAACTTTGATTCCCCATTGTGGCCTCGCTCTTTCCCTGGGAGTCATGATTTGAAAATTAAGAATCTACACTACCCAAGAATGCTTAAATAAGTTTCAACTTTTCTGGCCCAGTGGTTCTTGAGAAGGAGATTTTCAAAGATTTTTCCTATATATTTCTATGTAAAACTTTGATTACCAATTGTGGCCCCACCCTTCCCCTGGGGGTCATGATTTCAAGAGATTGGACTATAAGAATGCTTCCACATAAGTTTCAGCTTTTCTGGCCCAGTGGTTCTTGATAAGAAGATTTTCAAAGATTTTTTCCTATATATTTCTATGTAAAACTTTGATTCCCCATTGTGGCCTCATCACCCCGGGAGTCATGATTTGAACAATTAAGAGCTTTGGTACTACCCAAGAATGCTTCCACATAAGTTTCATTTTCTGGCCCAGTGGTTCTTGAGACAAGATTTTCAAAGATTTTTCCTATATATTTCTATGTAAAACTTTGATTTCCCATGTGGATCACTTCATTTTCATGAACAATTTAATATCTACACTACCCTAGGATGCTTCCACATAAGTTTCAGCTTTTCTGGCCCAGTAGCTTGAGAAGAAAATTTTCAAGATTTTTGGTTATATTTCTATGTAATCTTTAGGAATACTTTTGGCCCCGCCCTACGTGAGAACAATTTAATATTACACTACCCTAGGATGCACACATAAGTTTCTTTTCTGGCCCAGTAATTCTTGAGAAGAAGATTTTCAAAGATTTTTCCATATATAAAAAGTGATTTACAGTAACTGATACAAGGCAAACCTGTTAACAATTTAATAAATATAATGCTTTCACATAAGTTTCATTTTCTGACCAAGTGGTTAATTTTTTAATGACATATATATACAATATGTCCCTTCAATAATTTCAATTCCCCTTCACCCATTTTGTACCAAGTTTGCCAATAGTTAGCTAGGATTTCATCAAAAAAGTTTAAACACAGGTGGGGTAAAAAAAAAGATACATGTAGACAGAACATTGGTAACCTGTGACACTCCTCCCCTCAAACAATATAAAAAAAAGATTGGATATCAAACAAAACAGATTTGATTGGTCACCACCCTGTCAATAAAATAAAACATAAAACAGATAATCTTATTGGTCATCACCCTGTCAATAAAAAAGATTGGATATCAAACATAAAACAGATAATCTGATTGGTCACCACCCTGTCAATAAAAAAGATTGAATATACATATAAAACATTATAATCTTATGTATATATCCTGTCAATAAAAAAGATTGTAAAGCAATATATAAAACAGTTTTATGTCATTATTTTGGTCATAAAATTTCAATAAAAAAGATTGGTTATACATATAAAACATAAAACAGGTTATCTTATTGGTCATCACCCTGTCAATAAAAGAGATTGGGTATAAAACACAAAACAGATCATCTTATTGGTCATCACCCTGTCAATAGAAAAAGATTGGATATACATATAAAACATAAAACAGATAATCTTATTGGTCACCACCCTGTCAATAAAAAAGATTGGATATAAAATATAAAACAGATCATCTTATTGGTCATCACCCTGTCAATAAAAAAGATTGGATACACATATCAAACACAAAACAGATAATGTTATTGGTCACCACCCTGTCAATAAAAGAGATTGGGTATAAAACACAAAACAGATCAATTACTTTCATCACCCTGTCAATAAAAAAGATTAATTTCACATATGATATTTTAAACCCTGTCAATAAAAGAGATGCATAAAACAAAAATGTGTCCTTATTCAACAATACAAACTGTCAATAAAAGAGCTTTGGTACATGTATGAAGATATTAAGGAAAGGGAGACAAGGGTTCAATCTTGTTAACTTTTTACTTATCACTGTAGATAACTTAATTTTCATGACACTTTATTTTCGCGAGATAGACATTGACTCTTGATTAGCGAGACAAAATTTTCAAGAATTGTGGTTATTGCTCTATGTAATCTTTAGGAATACTTTTATACGTGTTTTTTCGCGAATTTTGTTAATTACGCGAAAATAAAGTTCTCGCAAATAAAAAGTGATTTACAGTAACTGATACAAGGCAAACCTGTTACAAAAGAAATATAACTCGATCTATATTGACCAAGTATTAATTTTCAAGCATATATATACAAGTAATACACCCCTTCATATTTTAGACTTCAGCCAATAGTTAGCTAGGATTTCATCAAAAAATAAACACAGGTGGGGTAAAAAAAAAAGATACATGTACTAACATTGGTAACCTTCACACCCTCCCCCCAAACAATATAAAATTAAGGTGTCACAAATTTAGTTTTTTTCCTTTAAAATCTATGAATGATAACAGGATAAGAAAGCAGAGGTCACATATTGAACATTTTGTAGACCTTTAAAAAATTGAAAGAAATATCATCTTTAAAGCAGTCATTCAAACTTCTGCTGATCAAAATCTTACCTCATGGCCATTGTTTTTAGAATTTTCCGACTTCGACTAAGATTTGAGTCCGTATCAACCAGCTGTCAAATAAACAATAGTTAATGATCAAAGATGATGAAATGATAATATAAAGTCTATTATCAAATTATTAAATAGAACGGCCTCTTGAAATTAATTAAAAAGATTTGTCAACAACACTATTAGCTCTAAATGTATATATTTACATTTGCAGATGTTTTCCTTTATATATCACTACTGAAAGCAATGTGTATCTATACCCATATAAATACAAGTTCCTTGAACGTATTAAACATTTGACATAATTTATCAGTGATGTCATAAATGGTTGACGCACATTCAAAGGATTGCATATATGCTGACTGTTGAGTTTGAAAAATAAAACATTTCATGCACTAAAAGTCATTATCAGGCAAATATAAATATGAATATAAAGTCACAAACGTAAATATAAGTAATAAAGTATCATTTTTAAAAACATCTATCAGGCTATAAATACGGGTTGGTACGAATTCAAATTAACCATAAAGTCCTTCAGGCTTTATGGAATTTGATCACTATATCCTCTGGCCAGATTCGTTTTACAAGATTTTCAAAGTTGGCACCTAAGAAAATTTGCCTGGCAACTAAAAAATTGCATTGGCAACTATATTTCTTGGATAGGGAGCTCATGATGCCTAAATTATAGAGGTCACTTAAAGGCCTGATATGATGCAAGAATTTTATAGATAAATTTAATATTAGAAATTTGTTTCATCTTTACAACACTTTACCCTGTCTTTGGTCCTCTCTAGAACATCCCGCTGTCTTCCTAGTTCATCTATAGTTTCCACGCCGATTTGGTCCGTTTCTGCGGAGATCTGGTGGGACCGAGCGATGCTCTCGGAAGTTCTGTTCAGGATTTGTGTACCCTCCATTAACCTAGCTCTTTGTGAGGCCTCCACCCTCTATAACCAAAAAAAATGAATAACAAGGCACAACTATTGAATTTAAACAAGGTGAAGCAAAATGGTATTCAATATCTGGATGTAAATAATTTAAAAGTACTCACATCAATCCTGTCAAAACCAAAAGTGTCTGTTCCACCAAAACCTCCAGTTGTACCTTTTTTCTGACAGTAAGTAAAAATGAATAGCATTCATGATTTTATTTCCTAATGAAGCTTTTTAATTCTTTGAAAAGAAAACCAGAAGTCTCTGTCGAGACTGAAGCTCTACTGGTTTGTACTTATAGCAAAGGAAGAGAAAAGTACTTACACAGTTGGGAATTGAAACTTTTCAATAGCAATAAATAGAATAATGATCCTTGATTAAGTCTCTTTATGTTCTTAGTGTAGTCTACTTGCATGCCACATTATATTATAATCAGACTAAAACTGTATTTGGAGTAGCATTTTGAGAGTATTTAACAGAAATTTCTATTTTTAGTAACCGTGGCAACACTGTTCATTGAAGTGAAAAACTGATACACAGAGTTATGTACCTTAGTGTAGTCTACTTGTGTGCCAAATTTTATTGAAATAAGACCAAAACTGTAGGAGGTGTAGCATTTTGAAAGAATTTCACAGAAATTTCTATTTTTAGTAACCACAGCAACACCATTCATCGAAATCAAAAACCGATATAGAGAATTATGTATCTTAGTGTAGTCTACTTGTGTGCCAAGTTATATTGAAATCAGACCAACACTGTAGGAGGAATAGCATTTTGAAAGAATTTCACAGAAATTTCTATTTTTAGTAACCACAGCAACACCATTCATAGAAATCAAAAACCGATATACAGAATTATGAATTATGTATCTTAGTGTAGTTTACTTGTGTGCCAAGATATATTGAAATCAGACCAAAACTGTAGGAGGAGTAGCATTTTGAAAGAATTTCACAGAAATTTCTATTTTTAGTAACCATGGCAACACCTTTCATCGAAATCAAAAACCCATACACAGAATTATGTATCTTAGTGTAGTCTACTTGTGTACAAAGTTATACTGAAATCAGACCAAAACTGTAGGAGGAGTAGCATTTTTAAAGAATTTCACAGAAATTTCTATTTTTAGTAACCACAGCAACATCGTTCATTGAAGTGAAAAACTGATACACAGAGTTATGTACCTTAGTGTAGTCTACTTGAGTGCCAAGATATATTGAAATCAGACCAAAACTGTAGGAGGAGTAGCATTTTGAAAGAATTTCACAGAAATTTCTATTTTTAGTAACCACTGCAACACCTTTCATCGAAATCAAAACCGATACACAGAATTATGTATCTTGGTGTAGTCTACTTGTGTGCCAAGTTATATTGAAATCAGACCAAAACTGAAGGAGGAGTAGCATTTTGAAAGAATTTCACAGAACTTTCTATTTTTAGTAACCACGGCAAAACCATTCATTGAAATCAAAAACCGATAAAAAGAATTATGTATCTTGGTGTAGTCTACTTGTGTGCCAAGTTATATTGAAATCAGACCAAACCTGTAGGAGGAGTAGCATTTTAAAAAATTGTTTACAGACAGACAGACAGACGGACGACGGACGCATTACTATCGCATAAGCTCTTCTGGTCTCTGACCAGTAGATCTAAAAATTGAAAATTCATTTTCTGATTTGAAATAGGTTTTTGTTAAACTATTATCATTTTACAAACAGCGTGACAGTTTGCTTGATGGGGCGTGCCAAAATTTTGTGTGCTGGTTATCATTTTACTCATCCTTTGGATCAATGAAATCAATACTAATTTGCATATGAAACTCGGAATACAACAATACCCCGATAATACTGGCCAATCACATTGAAAGGTTCTTTTCCAGTACGGCATTTGTAGTCAGGAGCAACACCTGGTCAGTCAAAGCCCGTTTTCTGTCCCCCAAAAAGCATGTTTAATATTTGTTGTGATTTGACCGGATGGGTTTTTAAATACTGTTGTACTATGTAGCTATCAATATCATCATTATAGGAAGTAAAACTTGCGAAAATTAATCGTCGCGAACTCGTATACCCCTGGTAAATCGCGAAACAAAGTCGTCGCGAATAAAAGTTGGTTTACAGTACGTATAAAATGTATAAGAAAATTTAAAGAATGGAATTAGTTATGTATTAATTGTTGTTTATTCCATGCGATTAGTCAGTATTGTCAGTGGTATTGCTGGGTTCTGTGTTTCATATGCGAAGTATTATTGATTCCATTGAAATCAAACATCCAATGGATGAGTAAAATGATAATCAGCATACGAAATTTTAGCACGCCCAATCAAGCAAACTGTCATGCTGTAAGTAAAACGATAATATGTTACAGGAACTGAGATTCTTCTATTGATCTAACAAACATATCCCAGACAAATGGCACCATACTAGGGCTGGGTAGTGGCCAGAGATTTCGTATTGAAATATATTGCGATATTTATAACTGTATTGCAATATGTATTGTGATATTATCAATATAGTTAAAATGGCATTTTCTCATTATATTAAAGTCAAGTTGTCAATTTACATGCAGAATGTACATATGTATGATAAGTAACCAAAGGGAAAAAGAATCAAGTTGATTTAATTACAGTTATATACTGAAATACACCCATGAACAGCTTTTGTCTTAATGTTTTGCATAATCACAAACCTTTCCGTAAACTTTTTTTTAATATTTAATGATAGAATTCCTGAGACCAAGCATTTTGCCGGTATATCGATATTACAAAAACATATTGCAATACAATATTTTTTGTGATTGTATTGCAATATACCGAAATATCATATTTTTGCCCAGCCCTGCACCATACACATAACAGAAATATTCCACCAAACATGTAACAGACAAATTCCACCATACTCATAACACACAATTCCACCATACATATAACAGACAAATTCCCCCTATACATAACACACAAATTCCACCATACTCATAACACACCAATTCCACCTTAAACACATCAGATAAATTCCCCCTACACATTACAGACATATTCCTCCATACATATAACAGACATAAATGATATCCACAGGTCCATCAAGATACACATCATAAATCTTGATTAATCATTAACACTATGCAGATGAGAATAGCTAAGGTACATGGAGATTGAAAATGAACTTTTAACTAAGATTTCAATCTACTGTTTTTTTCAGATGCCCACACTTTGCTTACCAATGATCTGTTGAGTTGCTCAGTTTCTCTTCTGTAGTTGCGTAACTTACTCAACATTTGAGTCCTAGCTGACACGGGAGCTACTCTGGCCTCTGCTTCCATTTCTTGGAGCTACACAGAGAAAACACTTTTTTTTAATCAACTAGCATTGAAACTTACGTGCTTCACTTTAAAAAACCTAATTTTGAACAAACAAAAATTACCAAATTTATGAATATACCAGCTTAGTTTTCGGGGGTTCCTGGCAACAATTAATTGGTATAAACGAACTCTGAAATAATAATTTCCTTGATATGGAAAGTTAATTTTGAGTCCCTTAGAGGTTAAAAAATAACAAAATTCATTTTTTTTTGTTTGATAAACCTGATCTAAATTAAAACTGAATAATATCTGCACTCGCCCGATCGGTTGCACCTGCACCGTCAACGTATAAGCTATTTTAATCTCAGCTATATTGGTAGGGACTAAAATTTTGGTCTGGCATCCCGTACAACGTGACTTGGGTTTTTTTGCCCTGACTTCGACCGCTCGTTTCGATCAATACAGCTGAAATTAATTAGCTGTCCACTTCAACTTTTTCCTTTAAACATCCCTTTAAGTCTCTACCACTATAAAACTTTCCTTTCTTACCTTTAAAAGGTTTGAATCCAGCAAAATATAATGTTGTTTATTTTTCATTGCAGCATGATGGTTGTTTGCTATTCATTTAAACCTCCAAGGCTAAAGAGTTCCACAACAGACTGCTTCAAATAATTCGTTCTACTATTTCTTATGGGAATGATCTATAGTATGAATTATTTCAAGCAGATTAATGTGGAACTCTTCGTTGATATAAAATGAGCGGCTGAAGTTGGGGCAAAAAACCCTGAATCACGTTGCATGGGATCGGTCTGAGATTGGTAGTGGACACCAGACCAAAATTTTAGTCCCTACCAATCTCGCTGAGATTAAAGCTGTTTTGTTTTAAAGAAGATTAGTATCATATCTTGTTTTTTTCCTTACAATGATGTTTGCTTCTTCCATATTTCTTTCTG